CTCAGTCCTTGTGCCAATCACACCAAAGGCTGACATGGTGCCTGGAACCCTGGCACCAGGCTCATAAACTAGCTGAAGTTGCTGAGGCTACCAAGACCTTTTGTTTCCTGTTAGTGTGTGGAGACAGTAATTCTTTCTCCTCTCAGAAAACAGTGAGGACAGTACTTCTTATGATAGTTGGGTGTTCAGAAGCTGAGCTGCTGATAGTGACTCACATACCTCCCTTGTACACCTCCCACCACTCAGTTTCATATCTTGGCATCTAATTGACAGCAAGGCCTTGTCCTCATAGCATTCCTGGTACAGAGGCAGCTGCCACCAGCCTCACCTTGAACATAGCCAAGGCACAAAGTATACCGAAGGATTCATCCCAACCAACACAGATGTGGGTCAGGGTATGGGCTGGATCCTGACTTGGAACCAACTTTTTGCTTTCTCATCAGCCCTTTTGTCTTGGGCAGGTAGTCTTGATCCTGGAACTTCTTTACTTGTTGTACATCAGCATTCATGGTCCAACTGGATGTGGATACATCCACGTTCTCAAGTTCATGGGTGGATAACAGGCAAGTTACTTTATAAGGTCTATGCTCAGTCATAGGAGGATTAATATAAACAATGATGAAGTAAGGCACTGTATGGAAATAGACATGGGAAAATTATGTTACAGTTTCGTTAGACATATTTAGACAAAAATATGAAGTCCAGCTCTCCTCTTCCTCCTATCCCTGTGCTCCCCTACATATACTTTCTGATTCTGGCATGCACTGGATCCCTCCCTGAGTCTAGTTAACTCTACTAGTGCAGAATAAGTCTGTCCCAGAAGTACAGAGTGGCAGTGGAGTGAATAATCAGGAGGAACAAGGGAGGAGACATGGAAAGTGACTTTTACCTTTAGGCAGTGACAAACCAGTGGATCAGATCATTAGCTCTTGAAACCACAGCCTTTTTTTTTTTTTATTTTTTTTTTTTTTTTTTTTTTAATACAAGAATTCATTAGGCAAAAGAAAACTGAAGTGATTCCATACCAAAAGCAGGTGGAGAGTAGCAGCCCAGGGCAAGAGAAGAAATGAGTGTTGCAGAAAATGCGGGTGCGCACAATGGAACAGCTTCCTAAGTCATTCCATCCTAGTGCAAACTGGCACTGACACAAAGCCAACAAAAATCACATCCCACATTAATTTGAGAAATAAGAATATTTCTCATGTTATTTCCCTTCACACTGCAGCTGGACCAGAAATTAAGTCCACAGCACAGAGCACTGAATTTTTATTTGATATCTGTATTCTTAAATGAAAATGACTACGATAACTTTCAGCACTCCCTGTTTCTTTCCTCTCAGTACTTTCCCAATAAAGCTTTTTTTCCAGTTTCTGAGAACTGCAATTTTTTCTTCCAGTCTTTGTCTCTGTTACCTTGAACTTGACAGCTGAGTTGGGTAACTGAAAGGTCACATTTTTAACATGACCTGTTGAATTCCTGCTTTCCCAGTGTGTTTATTTGCACTCAAGTATGATTTTCTGTACCTCCCCCTACACACTGTCTCTCTAAGAAGTCTGCATTAGCAGAGCTTTTAGACTTCACGGGCATTTTGGAGAACTCCAGAGATGGCCTCAGCTTCCGTATCACACTCTAATGTAAGCCCATGCAATATTAAAAAGAGGCAGAAGCAGTTTAGGTGCAGACAGTGCCTCTTCTTGGGATCAAACTAGGCCACAGAAGAACTGAAGTTCCTTTCCAAGCCCACACAAATTGCTCAGCTCCAGCCTAAACCCTCTGGAGGAGGAGGCCCTAATATCTCATTGCTACTATCACTCCAGCTAGGATTTACGTGGAGAACGTAACAGCTTTGATGTTTGTATCCAGCAGGGACACCCAGAGCAGGGCACTCAGCACCACGTCCAAATGGCCTTGGGAGCTCCCCAAGGAGAGAGCCCACAGCTTCTGGACAATGTGTGCCAGGGCTCCGTCACCCACACAACGCTCATTCAAGCAATGCCTAGACACAGGCAGAGGGTCAGCAAACGGCCACCACTTGGCAGGATGTTATTTGGACACGCACCAACCCAGTTGGGTGTGGTGGCAAGGAACAGTCCCTGCCCTTGTTGGGCAGCTGTTTACTTGCACAGGCATATTCACTAAGCATGAAATATAAATAGTTATATCTAGTAATGGGGAATGGAAACTGTCCTGGTCATTGGTTTTGATGTATTTATGGCTGCTTTTAACGTAAATCTACATTTTCAGAGCTAACGGTCCAAGCCTGCAGATAATTCTCTTCTTCCTCTACCCTATCCTCTACAAAAGCCAGAAGCAAATAGATCCACTTCTACCTTCTCTTGGCTTCTAGTGTCCAAAACGAATTGGTGGGTGCAAGTGTGTAACTCACCGTTCACACCACGTCGCAGCCACAGCTGCACGTGTCTGAACGCTCATGCAGAGGCTCATGGAGCTAGTCCTATGTCAGCATCATCAGACAAAAGGCTTCCACTGTTTAGCTCTTGGATATTTACTGGTTATAAATCAAAGAACCAACACCTATTGAGAAATCTGTGAAAGCATCTTTTTAGTCTGTGTTAGCAGCACTGTTCTGAGACAAAGTTATTATTTGAAAACATGACCTATTTTCATTTTACATCAGTCTTTTTAACTGTTCTGAAAAGGAGAATGTTTACACACTTTTGCTAAGAAATGTGAACTCTCCTGCTACATTTACATTCCTTTGTTCCAAAACGTATTCCTCTTGTTGAGATTCCAGCAGACAAGGAAAGCAGACACAGCGGTTATTCTCCAATGTGAAACTTAAAACCACAATCTCCTGCTCAGAGAACGCAGACTGAGTCACAGGAAGGGGCCACTCGCTTGCAAAACTCATTAAAAGCAAGGCAAGGCAAAATGGATTTCCTGTATCAATAAATAGATTGCTGGCAGTCAGCAGAACACCTGACAGTGCTAGAGGGTAAAAACCAGTCCAAGAGTAGCCAATAGAAAATAGATCAATTCTTTAGCTTGAAAACTGTACCTCCCCAGTACCAGTTGGGTTTCTTGGCATTAGCTGACTCAAGCAAAGTGCTTCAGAATATGCATAAGTTTGAGTGCAGGTCGCTGAGTGTACACTAAATAGACTGTGGTTATTTTCAAGAGTAATCTTACTATAAGGGTGCATGTATGGTACTGCAGAGCTATAGGTGCTGCAGAGCATATAGATGCTTTGTTCCTTGATTTTACGAAGAAGAAAAAATACATAAAGAAGCTCTAATCCTATCTATCTAAATTTTAAGTACATCTGTAGTTGCAACTTCATTTTGCTGTTAGCAGTAGCACTCAGACATGTCAGTAGGGATTGCTTTTTGGTTAATCTGCTTCTCTCCTGCTGGGCAAATGAAGACAAAAGGGCCTGCTCTCCTACTCTGCTCAATGCAGAGACATGAGATTTGGGTCAAAACTGCTTAGGATGCATGTCAACATCTGGCTAACTACAAACCAAGGTTCAACACTGGCTTGGAAATAAGCTGCTTTTAGCCATTTACTTGGCTTTCATTCCCATTCTCTAGTTCCCCCTGGAAGAAAATTTATTTCTCCTTTTGCCTTTGTTTTTCTCCATCACATCCCAATGGCTGGGAAAATCTTGATGAGAATCTCTTCTCAAAAGCATCTCTCTGTATCACTGCTAGGTTTTCTTTAGAGCCAACTTTGTGTCTCTTATTTGCAACTAACCTCCTCCACACGTCACTCAGTCACAGTAGAGGAATAAAGGAGGAGACAGTTTTCACATCAAGCACAAGAATTAGGACTATCATAGGGTTACAGCACTGTGAGTATAGGCCCTTCAGCAGCATTTATATAATAAAAATGAATCAGTAACAATTAATACAACCAGGTTTCACCTTTCTGCGTATTCAGAAATTAGTTGAAAGCTGTATTTTTAGGCTCCTGGCATCAGTAGTCTTCTGCCACTTGCAATAATCTATTCTGATGTACTTGGTGGTATCTGCAACACAAATTAAGACACTTATTTAAAAAGAAACCAATTAACACAGCATTCTGTCTGGGAATATTCCCTACCTTCCATGGCATCAGAAAATAATGGTCTTTGCTCCTCAGGAGATTTGCTCCCCCGACTTTTCTACCTCTAGTGTTAATTAGATACTGCAGGAGCAATGAATATGTCCTTATAAAGTTTGGTTTGCTGAGACAAAAGCATAATTCCTCTGACTTTTAATTAAAAAAGCACCTTCATTTCAAAGCCCGTCTCCAGAGCTCTAGTGTAAATGTTTATTCAAGCCGGAGACATACAGAAAATAGAGAAGACTGAAGAAGCAATGAGCGCAGGCTGCCCAAATACGGCTGCTTTTCTATTTTTAACAGGGAACTTTAGCTGCTGCAGAGCCTTATCAACCCCAAACATCTTTGTTTTCATATCAACACCAGCCTGACACTAAGGCTGTGCTTAGCTTGTTCAGCAAACCCAGCAGAGGGAGCAAAAAGCAGCTTTGCATTCTCACACACTTGAGGAAATGGTTCATCTCCAACAGAATAGCCAATGACAAAGAGAAAAAGAAAGGGAGGGAGGGGAAGAGGGAGGCTATCAGGTCAGTACTATTCGTCACAATGATACCATTCAATCAGACTGTTGGTCTTCCAGATCATGCTAAGAATTAGACAAAAAGATAAAGAAAAATCCGAGGTGGGGAAAGATTCCTGACTGCCCAGTTCACCCCAGTTCCTGTCTGGTTTACTCCTGGCTCCCAGGTGCATTCTCAGATCCCAGAACAGTGAGAGCCCAGAACCAGGCCTTGTCTTTCTCAGACTCCTTCCAGTTGAAAAAGCTCTGGATGCTTTTTTTTTTTTTTTTAAGTGCCAGAAGTTTCACTGGACAGCCCCAGTATGAGACAGGCAGCTGAGAGCAGATATACAAACCCTGTGCTTCACAGTTTTAGCAGGTCTGCAAAAGCACTCCTGCAACATCAAAGCATACAGAAAAAGAAGAACAGAAGTCAGAATTTTTGTATTTGCCTTTATTACAATATATGTTGTAATATATGTTGCATTCAGCAGATCAAAATGAGGCGTTAAAACGATTTTCATCATTGCAGTAGCACATACATATACAGAGTAAATACTGTATATAAATAGGCTGTGAAATAATAACCCATATCTACAAATAAAAATACCCAGTACCCTCTTCCTCTCACCCTATATTACAGCAGTAACATTTTAACCTCAACACAACTAATACATCAAGCGTGGTATTCTGTCACTCAAATGACACAGCTGGAGCAGTATGGTCATCAGCTCCATGAAAAATAAACATCAGTCACTCCTCATTGCTGCACATCCTGGTTTGTGAGTATTGTATAAATAGAACATGCAGCGAATTCACGTGCCTGCATATTTACGTTCACCAAATATTCTTTCTGTAACAGAAACCAGCACTACACTGAAAGTTGATTTTTTCTTTCACAGAAAGAGTAGGAATTTGTTAAACCATGCTTTTTTTTTTTTTTCTTCTGTATGAATTAACAAAGCAGTTCAAATATTACGCATAAAATTGCTCGGCTACCAAACCAAGATATCTTATTCTCTCTTCAAAAGTTTAACAATGTTTCTAACAGGCCAAAACTTGGATTTTCTTAACTATCTTTTTAGTCAGCAATTTTGATAAGCACAAGTTATAATATAAAGACATTTGTGTTCCTCTTCAGCTATATTTAAACTTTCAGATACAAAGGGGGATATACCGTATGTCACACATAAGGCGTTAATGTCACAGAACCATAGAAACGTTGGTCAGAAGGGACCCCTGGAGGTCATGTAGTCCAACTTCATGCTTGCAGCAGATGTTTGGCAATATGAGATCAAGTCAGACCCAGCCCTCTTAACCAAAAAAAAAAAAACAAAACACCTCCAGGTGGGGATTTCACAGCATCTCAGGCCTACCTGTACCAGCGTGGCTCTATGCCTATGAAAGTGACAGAATTAAAACAACCCCCTGTTCACACTATTTGGGTTGAAATACACTCCGATGAAATAGAAAAATAGGGATTGTTATCTGGGATTGTTTAAGTCATAAATAAAAACTACATAGGCTTCAGTTGCAGATATCTCTTGGAATTTTTCTTATGGCAGAAGTTGCTGTGTGCAAATGAAGAATAAAAAACTGACAGCTTCTGACCGAAAAGAAGGGTTGGTTTAATTTTGCATCACAAATGGGTTGAAACAGACCATTGCCAAAACTGAATTAAATAGGAATCAGTGTATTCATCCATTAATTCAATCATTAGTGACAACTATAAACAGATACTTGAAAGAAACTGTGGCTATATTTAGAGATGCAACCATTTCAGCTTGGTAACCTGAGATCCTCACTGATTGTCTTAAAGGTTTGAGAAATGTGATACAGGCTTTCTGACAGTCAATTTGCATTTTCATTAAATTTGCAAGGAGAGCATAATCAGTCTGGGTTACTGAACACACATTTCTCCCTCTTTGTGTTTGTCTATTAATTCCGGTATCTCCAAAGTGGATGTACTCCGAATCAGCAACGTTCATGCAAAAAGGAAGACGGAGGGCTCACCACTGCACAACTGCAGCTGCGCACACTGCAGCTGTGCAAAGGGCTGTGCTTAGTAATTACTATTGAAGGCACAGGAAAATCGTAAATTGGCCCCCTGACATCTCAGATAAAGTCTGCAGCACTAAAAGTCAGAAAGCCCCATTTATAGAATTACCATCCTAACTATGTTGTTATCACTCTTTTGACATGCAAAAGCAGAATTTGTTGAAAGAGAACAAATGTGATACATAACAGCTGTTCCCAAACCTTTGGGTGCTAACCAACCACAAACACATCTTAAAATTTCTCCTGGACCATTCTGCCTAAACTCTTAATTGAAAACACTGCAAAATAGCTGCAAAACGTGCACCACAGCCTGACAGATCACAAGCCGGCAGAGACCACAGCTTGCTAACCACTGTTTCAGCCATACTGAAATCCTACATACACAGAATCCCATGATGTCATTTTTAGTGTTTCAGAGAACAATTAGATTTTTAAGTGTACTTTAAAAAGAGGAGAAAAACATCACTTTCTTAGCTACAAGTTCAATTTAAGAAGTATTTGGCATATGGTCATTATTTGATGCGTACATTTTAAAGCAAAGTACCACATTGTATAAAGGCAGATCATTTGGAAAACACTATCAACTGATCTGCAGTATTGCTTCTATCACACATAGTTAAATCTTAAGGCAGTTAAGAGCAAGTAGCAAAAACAGTACATACAGATTGTGTCTGAACAAATGAATGGAAAAAAATATGGAAGAGGAGATTTCAGTCTCTTGGAGAAAGTAAATGGCACTACAGTATCCATTCTTTATGATACAAAAACAACAAAAAGATCCATACAGTAAAAACCTGAGATGCATCACTCACCAGCATTAAAGTTCACATTTTAACCAAAAATAATGTTTCAAATACAACTATTCCATTTTGACAAAATCCTCAGTTCTCTTGGCTCAGCAATGTCTTGAAACTCAGCACATATGCTGAGCAAGACGTCTTCAATGAGGAAAAAACAAAATCACTGAAGCCAAACCACAGACTCCCGTAAGATGGGCACTACACACAGCAGCCTGCATCTTACACCGTCACACTTATCTTAATCCAAATACCTTTTCCTGAAGTGCACTACTTCTCAGTAAGATGACTAGCAGGATCAGGTCATCTTATTTATTTTACTTTCCATTTATATTGCACATGATTTATTTCCACACAGAAAAGTGTTATCAGATCAAAATAGTAGGATGGAATAAATGAACACAGCTCCACTGGCACTGATGGCTACACCAGTTCACAACAGCTGAGGACCTAGTTCAGTAACTAGTTCAGGTTCCTCTGGAAGCCATCTGGTCCAATCCCCCTGCTCAATCATTTGCCCTTTCAGAGGGTGGAATCTGGCATACAGACTGCAACACGTATCACAAAATGATGTCAGGACTGGCAAGTGCCTCCAACTCCCCAGCTGACAGTGGTGTCTGATGAGATGAAAGACAACTTCAGTGATACACAAAGGATACAGAACCACTTAATGATCTTATGACAGATCTAACCGCAACTCTATCATCACTGCACTTTTATTTAAGTAATGAAACTGCACAGCATGATTTGAGTTGCTGAGTGAAGAGTGAGGAATGTAACTCCCATTCCTGGTACAGCTCACTCTTGTCATCTGGAAGTGTGACTAAGTATGAGGAAGCATTTCTAAGTTTGCTTACGGCAAATGAAAACAGCATCACAGATTCCAGCTGAACTGTCAACAGTAAAAGCCAAATGATGTTCTTGCAATGTGAGCTAGCGCTTTCTTTGCTCTGAGGCTGACAGTTTGGAGATGCAGTTAAGATGAGTCTGGATGTACATCCTGAGTTTCAAAAGGTGGCAGAGGTTCCCTCCAGTAGGTAAACTGACTGTAGGTATCGGAACAAGGGAAATCTGAAGAATGGCTTCTTTTCAGCAAAGGGAAAATATGGTCTACTACTTCACACAGTCTGACATAGCTGAAAAACAATTAAATAAATAAATGCAATACCAAACCATCTCAGATCATAGTAGTTCGATTTATTTAAGTCCCAGTCAAGACATAGCTGTATCTATATGAACAGGTTATACTCCTTAAATGAATAAAATTGAGTTTAATTTTGGTGTCTAGCTTCCAAACAGGATTCACAGTTCAGATACAGAATCCACCTTTGCTTTGAATGAATGCTTTTCTAGAAAGAACAAGGTGCCATTTTCAGCCCAGATCACCTGTTGAGATATTCAGGCCCCACATGCTATTTCTTCATTGCTGTCCAGCTTGGCTCAAACAGCTCCCTACTCAACTGGTCATACACATATATGCTCACTTTGGTTCCCTGTCCATTAAGTGCAGTCTCAACTTTACACAAGGCCTTTTCTTTTCAACTGAGATGCCTAAGCATCTTGATGGAAGCCTTCAGTATTTCCTTCACTTTTTTTCCCTAGCTCTTCTACACAGAAGTTTCAGGAAAAGGAAATTTTGACAAGGTCACAAAATGGCAGATGGCTTCACAAAACTGGTTAATATATTTTCTATGCAGATTAAATTGTACGCTTGTTATTCCTTTTCAGGAGTAGACTAGATAGAATATGTTACACTAAATATGAAACAATTTCTGTATCAGTTTAACCAGAAAAGTGTGGAAAGTCTGCACTTTATTTTACTTAATATTTTGTTTGGCACATCCTAAATATTTTTTCATTACTAAAATTAAATCCATCTTTGGGCAAGTTGAGTCATAGGTTATAAAAGGAAATTAATTTAGACTATAAAGTGTAGGGATTAGATTACTTACGATGAGATGTTTGTCTTTGCATGTTCTTGTATAAGTTCTCCTTTGGGGTTGACTGTAAATATTCGGTTTAAAGAAACACCCACTTGTTTGTATGAGTAAACATCCTAAACAGAAGGCAAAATTAAAAAGGATTATGATTCTGTCTCTGTATAGTAACGTTCATCCTGAAATATATTACATAGAATATATCTGCATAGTATTGTTACTGTATCTATCAACTGTGGATCTGAAATTCTCTAAAAGTTTGCAAACTTGAACTCAGCGTAATGATGAGCTCATGAAACAGACAATTTGCAGTGAAGTATGGAGTTTGCCACTTTAATTTCAACTACTGATCAAAATCATGTTGTTTCTCAGTTAATTCCCTTGACACAAAAACAACATTCAATAAAAACCTAATGTTATTTGGAGATAAAAAATATTTGCACTTCCATCTTTCATTCAGAGAATATTTCATTCCCCAAGTGTGTTGTACTGAATATCTCGCAACAATGCTAAAACATAACTGACATAAAATAGTGATTAGTTTGTAAGGACAAGGTCATAAAAGAAAGTTATAACAACTGTTTATTTAAACCCCTGGAAACATCTCCCAGTTCTTGTGCTTGGTGCAATATCCATAAATTGACTTTGTATCAGAGAAAGGGAAAGCAAGGTATAAACACTATAACTGCAGTTCTGATTCCCAGGAGGTAACACAGATACAACTGTGGGAATCAATTAAACTGGGAGAGGTAGATTTAGACTAGATACTGGGAAGAAATCCTTTATTGTGAAGGCAGTGAGGCACTGAAACAGGTTGCCTGGAGAAGTTGCGAATGCCCCCTCCCTGGAAGCATCCAAGGCCAGGCTGGACGGGGCTGTGAGCAACCTGGTCTGGTGGGAGGTGTCCCTGCCTGTAGCAAGGGGTTGGAACTAGGTGATCTTAAAGGTCCCTTCCAACCCAAACCATTCTATGATTCTATGCTATAGAGTGCAATCAGAAGTAAGGGTTAAGAATATCTTCTAAGAAATTTAAATTATTACAGCAAGCATGAAAAAGTTCTGATCTTAAAACAAACATACAAACAAACACTGACAAAATTAAGATTAAAAAGATCAGGCCTAGCTGCCATGGATATAGTTTTAAAGTTCAGGTGGTAAAAGATTGGAAGTTTAATGAAGAGATGCAAACAATTTTAATTTCTATACCATGCAGTATGCTATGTGCACTTGTAATGCTTGCAAGTACTGAAATTTCACTGAGTTTACTTGGGGAAAGAACAAAAAAGTGGCAAAAGTGGGAAACTGAGAAAGTTATGATCCTGATGTTCACAAAGCAACTAGCCTAATTGTATTTAACATCTGAAACAGCAATCAAAGAGATATCAGCAATCTCTTTAGAAACTCTAATTTTCTGCTTTCGTGCATGCATCAATAACAACTTCAAGTAAAATAATGATTTTGTTTTACTCTGAGGTTCATCTATAATACAAAGCCACAAAGTAGACAAAATATTAATTTTGAAACCATACGGCTAAAGTTACCTTGATAGGGGAAACTAAACTGTGTTTGATGGAACAAACAGATAAAACACTGGTCAGTCAACAGGGACCCCCTTCCTATCCTCACTGACAATACTTTTGAATTATGTAACTCGTTAGAAGATGAAGCTGAAAAAAATTGTTACTGCTCATAAATACCAGCAACCCTAGGAAAAATGTGATTTAACTGTAAGAATGAATTCCAGCAGAAAGGCATGCTGAACTCTCTCAAATGTAGCTACAACGTGCATGGCTTCAGTGCCAAAATATCTTGCCAGGCACCTTCATCCAAACATCCAAGCATCTAAAATACTCAGTCTCTAAATGTTCTCATTCACACTGACTATGGCTGGTGTCCATATTGATGCTGGTGATTTCCTCGAGCTGTCAATGTTTTAGCCAGTAGACGCATTTGAGGTCTTGCAGGCTGAACAGCTAAGGCTGGAATCTATTCCATGCTCCTCAAGTTTAACTAGAGCTTTTAGATCTTGTAAAGTCAGTGGAGAGCACCTGAATCGCCCTAAAGAAGCATTCCATTTCTCTCCAGCAACTAAAGGAGGAAGGAGCTAACTGGTTAGTTATAACAGGGAACAGGAAGGGTCAAGGACCGTTCTCTCAAGGCCATGTTAGAGGCTGCCCTATACTACACATTAGTTTCCACTGAAAATACCATTCACCAATACACTGCTGGAGGAAACAGCAAATGCTCTGCAGGGCTCATGGGCACAAATAACAGTTCCATCTGCTTAACTTAGGTGCCCACTGACACTGTAAAAACTTAGAGTGCTATTTCCTGAGCCAAAACCATTTTTCAGATCATGGTTTCAGTATAAAAGAAAGGATGATCACATTCCAAGGTGCCTCTGTCCCAGTTTTGCTTAGCTTATATGAAGTCTCAGCATCTTCCCTAAGGCTGCTGCCTTCTGCAGATACATGTAAGCATCCTTTGGGCCAGGACAGGAGTAAGAAAAGCATACAGCACATTTTTAGTCTTCAAATGTATGAGAAACCTGACTTCCTCTCTCTGTGTCAAGAAGCACATAGGTCTCTCCACAAAGCAGAATGCTTGATCAAATGGGACATCCAAATCCTTCTAAATATTGTGTTTTGAAGTCTAAGTCCCACTGATGCTCATATAAAAGGATTTGGTGTTTGTCCACAGGTAACTCGCTGGTGCTGTATCAGCTGCAGTGAAATGGTACCAGTACTTTCACAAATGCTTAAGGATTTATTTATTACATAGTTAGGGTTTAAATCAGTACTTAGTGTTATGCTAAGTTATGTAGATATAATGTAGTTGGTTTGCTGCTCTTCCACCTCTGCACTGTGATATTTTGGAGGAAGAACTTTTTTTTTATCCTTTGTACAAGGCCTAATAAAATATTCTCTAGTTCCATTTAAAGCTTTTCAGTTTTAATGCAACAGAATTGTGAAATAACAGCAACATTTCTGTTCTCTGCAATAAAATAATTTCAGCTATTACTCACAGCGGGTCTGTTTCCAAAAGCAGCATAAAAGGGTTCTGTGTTGGGATAAAACAAGTTTTTTATGTCTGTCAAACATTGAACTTTGAATTTTTCTGGCTTTTTCTCTATCACTTCCCTGAAATGACATAAAAGAAAAAAGTGAGGGAAGCATCAAATGAACAAGTACACATGAAATACAGCATAAACCAGTTTAACTTCATTCAATCTTCTTCCCGTTCCCCCCCCCTTCCCCCCCTTTACTCAGGACTTCTGCAAAACTTTTTCTCCAATAAATCTTCATTTGGAAGTCACAATGGCCACCAAGACAAAAATATCATTCCTAAGCTTATGTGATGGCCACAGTAAATAAATCCTCCAAAACAAGAGGACTTCTACTGAAGCTTAAGCATAAATTAAGTAAACTGCTTCCTGAGAACTGCAATATGATTCACATAGATTATATTAGCCACCACTATGTACGGTTTTTTAATCACTTTTTTTTTTTTAATTAAAGGATTGTAATTAACATATGTGCTAAAAGGACCTCAGACTGTTAAGGTGCTTCTACAGTTAGGGTCATCCATCACTGCTAACTAGCAGAAGTAATAAAGAAATCTTCCATTTCTTTTCAGTTGCTTCTTACAGAATACAGAATTCATTAATGAACAGAGGAGCTGCCTCATCTCTGGGTAAAAGCCCTTTCATAACAGCTTCTCTTGGCAAGGATGCTGAACAGGTGGCGAAGTCTGGAGTTCCCACAACAGAGAAAGACACCAGCATGACACAAAAGTACTGAAGATGCTCAGAATCCTACATCCTAGTATTATATATGCCAAGGAAAATGCAAGTAGCACGGACACTTCATAGGAATATTACAGCCCTTTGGAAGAGTAGTTTCACATAAAAATTGAAGTTTGAGCATGTGCAAAGGAGGAATAAAACCGTCTTTCCCTTAAAACCACAGTGAATAAATCCACAGGTAACAATTTAGTCATATGTTGCCCACACACCAAAGAAGCTGAGAGATAAATGGGCATTTTTTAGTCTAAAGATGATACCCAAAAGAGTATCACTTGAAATATATTTCTAGATATAAGAACGTAAGATGACAGCAGCTCTCCTTTTACCATGACTATCATTTAATCAGTCTAAGAACACTGCGTACCTCCACGCTGCCTTATATTTAGAACATGACTGGTAAGACAGCCTGTAGCATGTCATTCAATCAGGAGAACATCTGAACAACTTTCCATTAAAAATTCTAATGAAATCCTGTCACAGCAGCGTTTTTAGAGCCTAAAATATTTTCAGTAATCACTTGACATACTTTACTGAATTAGGAAAAAGGTACAATATTCATATCTGTGCTGTTATGATTTGTTACACAACAACACCTGCAAAAAACATTATTGTCCAGGTAGAAAAGCACAATACAGTCAGGACTATAAAGAGTTCATTTTATTTACAGGTGAACTTCTTTGTAGCCCCCAAGAAATAAATATTTATCATCCACACACAGAAACAAACGAAAAAAAAAAAAAAAAAAGAGGCAATATTTCTACCTAAACAGTGATTGCAGACATATGCAAGATAAGCAATATGCTTATCTATTTTATTGTGGTCTTTTCTTCAGCATAATTTCTTTTAAATTCAACTTTGGACCACTATGTAAGTAAAATGATTATGAATCATTTCAGTAGGCCCCATTAAAACACTGACAATTCAGCTTTCACCAACCTCCAAATTTCTTTCTACACAAAAGTGATACTGCAGTACCTGTGCAAAGCTGAGAATAAGCTGCTCGGACTCAGCAACACTGGCCCCTGTGGCAGCACAGTTCCACGTTCATTGACCCAGTGCAAGTATCCTCTGGTCATGTCTGCCATTCCAATAGCACGTGCTGAGCAATACAAAAATTTATATCCATTTCTGTAAACAGGAACAAAAGATGATAATGCTGTTAAAAAACAAAGCAGGCATTTTGAAATAAATAATGTTGTGAGTTTGTTCTCACATGAATCAATCACAGTGGTTAACAGCTATATTTAAAAGGAACAACATTTATGTGACAATGCTGGACAATAAAAATCTGCCTGGTTCCACTACAGTTAATGATTTACACTTAGAAGGGGCTTATCTCGTCTTCTCATAACTTCGCATGACTTTCTACTTACCCCTGCATACTAAAACCACAGACATTTGAATTAGCTAAAACAATATCTGCTAAGAGGAAGCACTTGGCATAAAACAGACAATGGCAGATTAACCTTCTTTGTATTAACAACAGTCTAGCCTTCTGAGCCTCCGGGTGGGGAAAACTGGTCTATGTGCAGCAGCAACATGCTCCTTTCAACTCTGAGCAAAGTAAAACTGCAAAACATTGTATGAGAAGTAATCTTTGTACTGACACTGAAACAAAAAGTTTCAGCAGAAGTTACAGGTTCTGTCAGAACAGAACAGAGTCGAAAGGCATTAGTACAACTTCATAGAATTTCCTTTTGCAAGTCCTACAAGGGAATGTGAAATAAACAAGTGCGTATTCAGCACACGCAGGCCATTAAATATAGCTATTCTATATTTCTGTAGCGTTCAGCTGTAACATCTAGCTGCTACATAATTAACTCAGTAATTTTAAAAATGACATGACTCAAATCTATTTTCCCATTTTTGTGTTTTCGATCAGCAAAGCCCTAAGTACTGACAGGCACAGAAATAACTACCACAATTAAAAAGAAATTAACATTTTCACCAAAGACAATGCAGAGGCCACACACAGGAACTAAACAGAGTTCCAGTATCTGAATTCACATGCTGTCCTGTTTTTTCTCTTATCTTGTACGTCTTTACAAGAACTAGAGGATGGACCAGCGTCTCTGGTATAATTTAGATTCCACCAACCATGGTTTATAATTTATCATTTACGTAAAATAAAAAGCAATAAACAAGTCCTAACATAACCACAGTGCACAGAACTAGTCAGATTATAAAACAACAGTTAAGATATGTTCCAGAGGCTCTTCAAACAGCTGTGGTAAGCTCAATATACAAGAGCAGCTGAATGTGATCTAAGAAAATACATTCTTTTTTCCCCAGTGTCTGTTCAACTTGAACAGAAAACCACTAAAACTTGTTGATGCTAAAAATCTGGATATATGAATATCAGAATACAACTTCTGACACTTCATCTGATCTCATTCAGATATCGATTAACTTTTCTCCTAGCTTTTTTTTTCCCCTCAACTACTACTGACAAAGCTCACTATTCTCTCAGAACAGTTCTCCTATTCACACTCATCAGAGGAAACATCAAGTTTTTCTAGTTCCTCAGGCCCTGTGCAACATGTAGCTCAATAACTTTCAAAACCTTTAGAATATTTTAACATCTGTAAATTTGCCACTTAAATTAACAGCAAATATTCATATAGGCAAGAAATGAAATAAATTGTATAACAATCAGTAACAAAGACCACCATCACTGTATATAAACACAATGAGAACCTTAAATGGTCCATTCCTACTCAAGATAGATACTATGGTATAGAAATTTAATATTAGACAGCTGGAGTCCACACTTGTTCCCTCAACTCCCTTTCTGCTTGCTGGAAACAGCAGAAATTCTCCTAAACTGACTCATTTCAGGTATTTTAGACCTCATCCATGCACAACAGATAAAGAAACTCATGTCTCTCTACTAACCTCTTCAAAAGAAAAAGAACTAAGCAATTAGTTTAGATTAGACACCTAACTTCCAGGCAAGTAAGCTTTGGCAAGAAATCCACCTGCAATGACCACCCCCAACTAAACAATCCTTAGATGTTTTGCAACGTCTATCCTCAAGGATAGACAGGAAAGTCTCATATGGTAAGGTTGCAACTCCCAGGTTGCAAAAGCTTCCACTTATTGAAGCTATACAACTCATTTAGATTACTGTATTTTTTCTAAACTGAACTGTATCTGTTTGAGATGATTAAGAGAATAATTGCTACTCATTAACTGACAGGAGACTTCTGTTCCTGGTATCACAAAGCAGGTATTGCTCTGGCTATCAGACAGCAGATAGTTACACTGTGTAAGCAAAGAGACAGTGATGAGATTTCTCTTAACCTGTAAGCATAACAGTCTATAAAGATTTCAACTTTCACTTGCAAAAGAATAAACACACAAATCACAGATATATGAACAGATTTACTGAATACTCACTGGCTCACTTTATGGTACAACTTCGCAATCCCTTGGTGTGTCCAATCTTTGCCAAGAGTAGGTAAAATATGACCTAAAGTATCTGACCTGAATAAAAGAAAAACAATGTATTTGAAATGAAGAACAAAACAAAAAACAAACTTACTGCTTTTAACTAATAACAGATGAGACTAATATAAATTCCCCTAATTAAATTACCTAGCTGCACAAGAAAATTAGATTTTCTACAAAGTACTGATTACAATCAGAAGAGGGCGAGATTATTCCCTTTTCTTTCAAGATAGTCTTGACACATCTATGCTGTTTTAATCAGCCTAGTGCTCCAAGACCTGTTTTCTCAGATAAGCTAGTGAGCCATAAGTTAAGAAGGAAGTTATAGCACACAAACTACCAGTTAGACCTACGGAGTAGACCAGTTAGTATTAAGTATACTTTTTGAGGCTTACATTTCCTAAATAAACCAAGTCTAACTGTAAGGTAGGTAAGATTGTAAACCTCCAAGAATGCAATAACGTTCTAACCTCTTCAAATAACCAAGCTGTCAGTTGGTCATATACAGTTATACTAGTTTCAACATATTTCCCACTCTACATAAAAGAAAATTATTTACAATACAGTAATATTTAAAAGTACAAAGACCTGAGCACCTCACTAGATCAATCATTATAAGGATACACAGCAAGAAATCCAACTACTCTAATTATCTTGAATCTTACAGAGAAAAGATTTGGCAATGGATTAGGATTCACAGTAGTATTGTAAGGTGGAAGAATTCAATTACTGTCCAGACAAAGAGAAGAGTAGGTCTCATTTACTTTGCTGAAACTTAAGAAAATAGGAAAGGCAGAGAAATTAATTCATGTTGGCAACCAAAAAACAGTTTGCCCTTCAACTGATTAATTGCAATGGGAAAAAAAAGTTCAAGCGTCAGTTCAAATCAAATATTTTAATTTAGTCCAGATTAGTTTTGAAAATCCTTTTGTTCATTGTTTGTTTGTTTGTCTGTTTTTTTTTTTTGCATCTATTGTACCTCATAAGTCTGATAGAGCAAGAAGCCTATGATTCTGCTAAACGCCCCGCAACACTGCTGTAAATGCTATCACAAAACACCAAAAAGGGAAACACTGAAAAGTGAGTGCTTATGGCATGTTTCTTTATGAAAGAATGATTCTAGCCAGTGAATCTTGCAGTGTTTGAAAACAAACAAAACTGAAGCAGAGAAAAAACAGACTCCACAAAATACTGAAATACAATTCGTTTCCTCAAAATTCCCTGGTTTTCAGTCCAATGGACAGAGGCAAATAAATAGTCCCCTTTTCATGAACTCACCGTGTAATGGTTCCATCTATGTCAGAAATTATAACCTTGTCATCCCAATTCCACAGGTAAATGGTGCCTTCACAGCGGCAAGTACCTTGATATTGTGTTGTAACACTAAAGGTCACATCATTGGGACCATTCTTCAGCTTTAAGCTTTTCTGCAAGACATTATCAGCAAAATTATCAACAATTTGAGCGTGTGAAACAGACATCATGCAGAACAGAAAGCTACAGATGGCTGTTGCTTTGGACACAACCTTACTGCTTTCAGCAGAGCCATTTTCTAAGTAAGGTCAGAAGAGATTCGTCACATATTTTGAATATGAAGCATTAATTTATGGAACAGAATGAAAAAAAAAATCTGATTCATGGTAAGCAATATGAAGGAGCATCCTGAAAGGTTCACATGGAATAATGAATATGGAAGGTTTCTCATACCATGATAAAGATATAGATATGGAGAGAGAAGCACGGGTAACAAGTAGTGCCATGAACAGTGAAAATGACACAGTGCTTTTATGTGGATTTATGTTCTATGGATCCACACTAGCACATTTCTAGTCTATAATAACCCACCTATTATCCTTCATTTTCCAAAGTTCCTTAACTTTCCCACCCTGCTGCCCTTCTCTTTCACTTAGGAATTAATTTGGCATGAGACTACTGATTTGATCTCTTTTTGTAGGCTCAATCATTCATTTTCACAAAACCTGTAGGAGTTTCTTGCTTTAAGTGTTCTTAGTTATATTCCACTGAATTGCTCAATGAGTTAATATGCAAAATGAAGGTGTGAATGCAGATGGGAAACTGATGAATCCCATCTACTGTGCCATCAAGAATCCTATCTGAGAGTAGTGCTGACTTCTGCTAATTACTGTAAGGTTTATGTATCTTAAAAAGATATATATATTTGTAAGCAAGTAATATTTGTGTAATCCTTGTTTTCTGCCTGATTTAGGAAGTTACAACCACATTTCATTCATCTCTTGGGAAAAATTCAAAATTCCTTTCAAACTATTTAGGAGTAAGCAATAGGCTGCAGAATGCTGTACTTCTCATATGAGTTTCCTTTAGAAAATTAATTGGCTGTAGGAAAGATGACAAAAAATATTTCACTAAAGTAGCCCATTTTTCCAAAATCCAATTGGCACGTGCAAAATATAGAGCAGCAACAGTTTTGTCACCATTAGTCAGAATGCGTTCTGTCACAGAGGAAGACAAGAAATTAATAGTCAGGCTTCATAGTGAGTGCACAAGTAGCTCTTTCAAAAGTTACTAACAAAGAACTGTATTTACATAAGAATGCCTGTCTGTTTATTAACGGGAGGGTGGTGGCAGAAAAGAGACCTCTGGGTTGACACAAACTTTACACAACACAGAAAGGATGTTGTTCCAGTATACTCAGATGCAAAACACTTCAGAAATAGTTTTGGTATTTGTCTAAATGGGCTCCAAATCTCTGAACCCCAGCACTTGCTGAAGGAACATTCATGTATAATACTGAGAAGAAAAAGGAAAGGATAGCTTTAAAGTTACTGTAAGAAGATGGAATTAAATGTAAGAAGTAAAGAAATAATTAAACCTTACAAGTCTGGATAACAATGTTGTTCTCGTTGCATTAGAAATGACATTTCAGTACAAAGATGTAAAACCAACTCACAAGCTGGTCAGAAGTTAGTCGAAGTGTTTTTTTGTAACTGATTCCAGACAATAATGAGAGATGACTCGAGTTGGCTTGTAATGACCCAAGGTTTTGTTTGGCAGCTCTAGGGTCTTCATCGCTCGAAGAAGATTCATCTTTTATTCTGGAACAGTGCACACAGAAAATGATGCTATCATGTCCGTAAATGCATCTCAGTATCCATTAAAAATGCATTAACAGTGAGTCACCAAATAAGTTATTGATTCTCTGATCCTGTTTCACAAGAGGTCATTCACAGCAGGGCTTTTAAATATATCAATGGAGTGCTGAATTTTCATTCATGCTTGTTCCCCATTATTAATACTTGGATTCCCATGGGGTCCCTTCCAACCCTCATGATTCTGTGATTCACTTGTCTATATGCTAGTTTTCATCACTTAAATTTAACAGATAACAATTAATATGTTATGTTGACTCAAAAAACCTCAGTGGTAAGTATTCATTTTTATATACATTGTTTCTTTAATATATTAAAAAATACTGAAACTACAGAAAATTCTCATTTCTCAGTGCAAGAAAAAGAAGTTTGCTGTGCTGGTATTTTGCTGTGCTTTTTTGTTTGTTTTCCCTAACTTAGCAGTTAATAAAAGAATTCGGCAATCTGGTCATCCCTTCTCCCCTCTATTATGGGTGGGATATGACACCAAGTGATTACCATTTTATCATCAAAAAACTCCTTTTTCTGAAAGCAATTATCGGGTTATTCTTTTCCACGATCTGCAGGATTATCTCATTCAGGATAAAGTAAAAACAAAAAAGACCCACTTGATTGAGCTCATTTAGACAGAGGCAAAGTTTTTCTACAATACACAAAACTATCACTTAGGGAAGATAACATATCCCTTCAGATCCAGCAAATATAATCTCTGGAACTACTAAAGCTACTGGGTCTGTTTCCATCACAGCTGGACGTTCTTTGATGTCAGGAAGTCTTGACCTATCATCAAGATGGTATATGTCATGACTAACAACATTATAAAATCCATCTTGTTATCCTTTGTAACATCACATCTCAAAAGCTTTATTCAACATCCCACTTGTGCTCTGTTTGTAAGCAATAAATTCTTAATGACAGATTTTTAAGATCAGTTAAAACTTAAAGAGCACTGACTACAGAATTCTGTCTGCTTGATATCCTAACCCCACTTTAAAGCCTATCTTTCAACAACCATGTAAAAGATATCAGACCTAAACGTTACTTATCAAAAAAGGGAACTCAGTCTTTTTGATTCCTTTGTTAGATCTCAAACTCAGAGAACAGAGACAAGCAAACCAAGAACTACATCCCATTCTCCTGGAATGAGACTGCTTAAAGAACTACAGCTACTCCATTTTTTTTCCAACCATGGTGACCCTTGAGTTTCACATAGTGAGTATAAAGCATATTTAAATCTGTATGATATGGCCCTCTTCAGCTCTAAGCACAACACGTATGAGCTGTCTTTACAGTCCAAACTGAATGCACAGCAACGATACAAGATAGGAGAGCTGCCCCTGGCTATCTCATTCCCTCAGCAGTTTCTGGGGAAAACTAAGACTCATCATACAGAGCCTTTATGAGGCAGAGATTCTAGCTATACAGTATGATTAATTTGGAACATGAGAATGAACAGATTTCTGCAATCCTTAAAAGAACTAATAAAAAAAAAAAAAAAAACCAACCAGGAATCTTTCCTACCTATTGCATGTGAAAAGAAGCCTGGCAAGTGTTAGGCTCCTGAACTTCCTAAAATACGCAGGAAGAAATTCAAGTGTCAAGCCATAAATCAGGATTTTAGCACATGTGAACTGAAAACAACCTGGGATAACCTACAATGCTGCCTTGAAAACTCCAGAGAGATGTAAATAGTTTTGCAGTACTGCTTCAATTATTGTTTGCTTTTTTTTTTTTTGTCAAAGGGCTGGAATATGTGTCATAGAATTACCAGCCAAACCATAAGCTAAAAATGCCAAAGCACACTTGCAAGGTCTGCAACCTTCCCATGGCTTATAGCCTTGATAGCTGCACTTACACACAATTCATAATTCACTGCATCAAATATTTACTTCACACAGTACTTATTTTTCATTGCATTAAATATTTACTTTGTGCAGTACTTCTTGGTTCAAATATAGAAACAGCTTGATTTCACTTTTAAATTATAATTCTTGCTCATTTCAGATAGAGCAAACTTCTTGGGTACCTGTTTGCCAAGCTCATCTGTGAAGAGTCTTCTCCTTTAAGTCTACTCCCACTCATACCTTGTTCTGCCTTTGTTTCCTATAAAAATACAAGAAAGTATACAAATTCATGGAAATCTGATTAAAGAAGAAAAAAGTTACACGCAAAAAGTACAGTTTTTTTTCCCATGCATTCCCTTTTACTTTATCCACGATTAAAGAGGGAAAATTGCATGGATTTCTTAAAGAATAAAGGCTGTGCAAAATAATTAAGCAATGTAAATATAAAACTCAGAAGAAGAATGAAGATTTAGTTTTGCACAGATACAAAACTCAGATTTCACATAGCTGGCACTCTTGAAGTTCCAGAATCAAACTACTCAGTTAATCACAAATAGCCAGATTTCACTTGAAAACCAAAACCATCTGGAAAAATAGAGTTACCTTCCACTGAATTATTAAAATCTTTAATCCAATAAGACATTCCACATTATTTTTACTCTGAGTCGATGCTGAGTTCTATCAATTCCTTCCCACAAGAAGAAAGATTTTTGAGTAGTGAATGACTCGTAAGAAACAAAGAAAAATAAAAACTTCCCCTTGTCCATTTACAGCTTTATAGATAAGCAAACGCTTCCACTGAGGAAGAAATTCTAACTATTTCAAGCTGCAGAAACTAAAATCTCAGTCTCTAAAGCTCATATCCACAGACCAGTACAGTGGTTATTTCAAGCAAAGCTAAGAGTTCATCTACTGAGGTACAACCATAAAACATATCTCCCCCAAGTACTAATGCTTCAATAGTATAAATGAATATGGTTTTATTAGCCAACTTTAAAGATTAAACATGTCTAGACAGGAGATCAATATTTCATATAAAATTTTGCCTTTTTCACTGTGCTTTAATGTTCATTCATGGCTTTAAGACTGTTACCACAAACTTCTAATATTCAGAAAAGAAATTTAAGATGACTTTAAAAGTAATGTAAGTTTTCCACCTTAAGTTTTACTGAACTTTACAGTGCACTCTCATCATAAAAATCTCTGTTCTTCAGCTGTGAGCAAAAACTGTAGAAAGGTAGGCAAAACATGTGGCACACCTCTTCAAATCTAGGTTCCCAGACACAAATTTTGTTGGATAATACTGTCTCCCATTTATATAATGGAGAAAAAAAAAAAAAAAAAAAAAAAAAGCAGAACCAAAATACTGCAAGCAAACATTTTAGGCAGGGTCTGATCGAAGGCTTTCTGAAGTCAGACTTCAGATGCTGTTTAAACAACTTCTAGCGTGCAAATCCTCAGCCAAAGTGGGTATGAAGCAAAGTTCTGAGGGATGAATTTGAAGGCAGCTGGCATTTCCAACTTACCTCTTTAATAGTGCTGTTTCTCCCTCTCCAGGAAAACCACCATCTTCCACCTTTTTTGGGCATCTTGTCTCTCATTATAGATTCCACAGTGGCCTGTGATAAATGGATGGTAACATAAAAAGAAACCAAAACAAAGGACAACCTGATATATGTAAATGAAAGAGTGCAAATGCACAATTTTAACTGATAATAAACAGAATAAAAGTAAACATACTGTCTGCGGACCATAAATTCTACTAAAGCAAAATCTAATGGTATCCAGCACTGCTCTGAAGTAACTTAAACATGAATACTTATGGAATTTTTAAAAGAAAAAATGAAAAGGACAAAAATCAAAGGAGGAAAAAAAGCATAAGTAGGTATTAGTATAATGCCAAGAATGGAGAAGCTACTGGTTTGTTTGTGTTTTACATTACTTAGTGCAAATTATATTTTAAAAAAGCACAACAAACAAATGAGTAAAAAAGATCACTTCCTGAAAGAGTTGTCATGGAAAATAGTATAAAAAAATAAAAAAAAACAGCATGCAAGATGGTCATTTTCATTTATGAATAACTATGAAGTACATAACTCATAATAAGCTAGGATAAAATCAAGGAAGTTAGTAGTTTTAAATGAGGTTAGCATGATACTATGAACTTGACTGACAGCGTTAAGTTTTGTACTTTTTCTTTTAAACCTTTGCTAATTTCAATATTCTGTATATACTGGATTCCTAATAGAAGAAAGTTTCTTCCAGTAACTATGATCAGAGAGATTTGAATTCATCCAATCATGAGAGTGAGCAAAAAAAGCAGAAGGGGAAACACCACAATAAAGGTGGCTACAATGTTCAGTATGTCCTAGAATAGCTTAGCCACAGGCTTTGTGACAGCCTCTACTGTAAATGAAATATCAAAATAAAATTGCATTGTTGATTAGTGAGAGAAAAAAAAAAAAAAAAAAAAAAAAAAAAAGAAAAAATCCAGAACTGATTCCAAGAAAAGCTAGCAGTTAAGAAAGAGGCCTAAGTTCAGGTTATGCAAAAATACACTTTTTCCCAGTTTTTTTTCCACAGGTTTTCCTTCACTATCCTATCTAAAGTATAAGAGAAAAAAAAAAAAAAAAAAAAAAAAAAAAAAAAGAGATGTGACAGAGGAATGAAGTTGAGCAAAGAAGTTAAAGTTTTTTTAGACACAAAACGAAAACTGCAGATGGAGCTACTGAGAAAATAACAGTTGTTGAGAACAATGGCTACAGTTTAAAGATGTTATCAAACATATGGACAACCTCAAGCAGATGTACTACTGATTTTTAATTAGATAATGTACTTGCTTACAGTTAAGCACTTAAGTGTATTTTGCAGAATGCCGGTTTTTTTTAATAATAGCTTGAGCTTTCAATCACTTCATAAAGCCTGTTTTGATGAAGTATCTTAATATTACACCTTAGTTGCATTATTACAGCAAATCAAAATTCTTATAAGTAATTAAGAAAACCAGTAGAATGACTGGTAGCATAAACGAGTAATTGTGATTTCAGCAGTACAGTTTGAACTACTAAGCCTTTCCAATCACATAGACTGTGCCAACTATAAGTATTAGCTTCTTCACCCTATGAAAATCGTCTAGAAAGATACCAGTGTACAGAAAAGACAACAGCGAATTTCACATAACCTATATGAATAATGATGTAACCATACAATCATTGAAGGAATTGCTATTTCCCTTTAATGGAAAAAGTATTTCATACCTATTGCTTCTGCTTATTCTTCCTCAGCCAAAGACAAAACATTTGGATCAGGCATCTAAATATTGAATTACAAAGGTAGTTACCCTGCACTGGAGGATTCAGGGTAACTACCTGTGTACTGCCACTGGAGACCAGTATGTGCTAATGGGATGAATCATGGCTTTGATGACAACTGGAATATTTGCAGTAACACACAAAAATATCTAGTTCTGTGATGCTCTGAAATTCAAGCCTGATTTATCAGATGTTTAGGACTATTAGGATCAGTTTAATGTATTGAATCTGGAGCTGAACTCAATGATCCTTATGCATCCCTCCCTTTTAGCAATATTCTACGACTTTATATTGTCTGTCTGTATCCATAGGTGATGTGGCACTAAGACAGAAAGAACATAGTAGTAGAGTATTACTTCAAGTTTTGGCAAAAGAATTCACATAGATTAAATACAAAGATACACAAAGGGGTGCAAGGGACAGAAGTAAAGTTTAGTTTACAAAGGATGCCAAATCTATGGCCAACTAGGTTACAAATTAGTGCCAATGTTGATACTTACTCCTTTATAAATAGTCACAGTAACACGTATTTCTGTCCTGATCATCTCGCTGGCACTAGGTCACATGTAATCGGACTAAGTACATCAGTGTGTTTAATATAAACAACCATACAGCTGTCACAGTCATAGCTATCTGTCACTGCCTACCTGGGATGGTTATGACCAACCAACTGAGAAATTGAGAACTAACAAGCTGTAGACCTTCCCCATCCAGTACTTAAGTTGCATTCAAGTAAGGTCAAAATCCTGGACTTCAATTTTTATTTGCTAATATATGCTGTACATAGATAAAGTGAAGCAGATCATCAGCATTCAGATACAGTAAACATTAAGGTGAGTCAATCTAACTTATGTTTACAATCTGTATTAATGCAGGAAAACAGGAGAAGATAAAGAGATCAAGTTCAAAATACTTGTAATTATCTTAGCTTAGAAAGTAAAAACTATTCACAGACCAAATCTAGCTTATACTACGAGCTAAATAAGTAAGACTAAGGGAATGGTTTAGTGTGAAAACACACGCCTTTATAACACAGCCCCTTTTATCTGCCTTAGTTAATGATATGCCTTAATAAATAGCAAAACGTCAAAGCTTCCGCTCTGACCAACCTTCATATTCAATCTCACCTTTGGCAAAGGTTTCTGGAATGCCTGCATTGCCAGCAGAAGGGGAGCAGCTGTTGTCCAGTTGTAGTACCTAGCATTTAAGAAAGACAATTACTTTATTTTGTAATCCCAAAGTTCCAATACACAATTTAGTATTTATCATATAGTAGGTTAAACCTGTGAAGATTCTTTAGTACAGGTCCTTAATGCCTCATTAGCAAATGAGCTTCGTTTCTGGTTTTATTTTTGGTTTTTGTTTTTTTTTGTTTGTTTGTTTTAAACAGGCAGCTTTCACTGGTTTTGCACCAAGTCACTACAAAAATGTTAGGAACCTGAGTCTATAGGATGTTAAACTTTTACTATGATGTGCTGAACACAGCTCAACTACTGTTATAGACTGTATTATGATTAGAGAAGTATTGTCCTCTCTTTCCAAATCACCAGTAGGCAGGTAAACGTTACTACAAAAAAAAAAATAAATAAAAATCAGATATATGGCAGAGGAGAAATAAATGACTTTCCTCTCTGATGGAGGAGACAAGGTCATCACGTACTCAATCCCATATGCAATTAAAAACTATTGGATAAGGATGCACTAAGTATCAGATTTATATGAGCAATTTCTATAACTAAGGGTAGTTTAAATTCTAACTGCAACACAAAGCCATCATCTCTCTTATACTCTAAACAGAAAATGCTAGCTGGAAGTGGCTGCAAAGTTAAAATACCCTCCAAACAACTGCATCTGGCATAGACCATAGCACTGCACTGCTCAGCAACACAAATATATGAAATAATATCTTCAGCCCTCCAGAAACAGAAGTCTCATACCAGTGGGTGAATTCTGACAAATTCGGAAAGAAAGATGCTTCTCTAGAGGCACATTAGCAAAAATATTCAGCTTTATAAACACAACTTATTGCATATGGAGGGTTTACAAGTAGAACATCACAATCCTGCAAATATTAATTATTCAAATTGGATCAAGGCAAGCGTTAGCAAGTTCACATCCTACTTCATTTTTACTCTACCAGTTGAGAATGAATGCTATTAGTTTTTAATACTGGTTTCATGAAATTCAGATTGTGTCAGCTAGCTGTGGCAGGTGATCTGAAGCTCCTCTTTACTTCATCCTCAAGGAGAACTGTAAGTAAAAGCTTGAATTCACTTGAAAGCTGAGTCTTTCTAAATGAATCTATGCTACAAAAGTTCAAAACTTATTTTTCAGCTATAGTGATGTTGGTCTAACACAACAAAGTACCACAGCAGAGCTTTCGTTGCAACAGTAAGAATCATTTCTCCTTACTTACTCCATGGAAATATACTTACTTATTTCCAATCTTAACCACAAGGTTGGGGTCATCAATGATAGCAGGATTGTCCACAAACTGCTGATATGTTACTGCATGTTCTAAGAATTCTTCTGTTGGGGAAAAGAAAAAAGCAAACAAGTCATGCTTTTATAGATTCCCCCTGGGATGGGCCAGTCTAAAAGAAAACATATTGCTTTCACACTCAGTGCTTGCCCTTGATTACTGGGGTACTGAGATCAGTAGAAATACTGAAGCAAGACATTCAGAAATTTCAATCTCAGAAGATTCTGAAGGTTTCTTTGTGTACTGCTGGGCATTTTCCCCTTCAAAATACAAGCTAAGAGAAAGTCTAGGGATAGAACTGTGAGGAGGAAAATTAGGCTTCTAAGAAAAGTAGGAAATATTTCCTCATGCCTTTTACTGACCCTTTGTCCAAATTAGGAATAGGACCTGGTGGGCTTAAACATGCATAAACCCATAAGCAAAAACATGACCATTTGTACAGCTTACAGTAAAATAATAATCACCTATGAATAAACACCTTTTCCACTACTGCAGCTCCTTCAACAAAATCCCCACAGTTTACAGGTGATCTGAACAACAAGCATAACTCAAATTACAATATAATCAAAATGCATAATAACTAGCTTCTGAACAGTAATCAGCATAACATCAGGCTCATGGGTTTATGACTCCATGTTATTGCAGAATTTGCATTTTTTAAACCATTTATCTTCATCGTATGCAGCTGAAAGTTTAAAGAACCAAACACTCTCAAATGATTTCTCTCAGGAGTCACACAAGAAATGGAAGGCACAGCAGCTGTTGCCATCTACAGACCAGACCATCTTTTTAATTCCTGGCATGGACAGCAGAGTACTTCCTGGCTATACATTATACCAGGTAACAAAAGCACCATGCACACTGCTATGATATAAAATCGGTATTATCAGGAAACACACACACATTTTTCACAAACATAGCATACATTAGATTACTAAAAGCTGTTAAAAACAGTGAAATGATAAAGACCTTCTAATTATGAAAAGAATCTAAGAAATTTGTCATTTCAGGAAGCGTTTTCTATACATATTCCTACATACAGCCACAGGAGGGCACTGCTCCCCTGATAAAGGACGCTCAGACTTGGTTGAGCGCACACGCCTGTATTGCAGGTCAACCTATACCTTTGGTTATCTCTTTGTTGTCCGTGAGGCCTCCACAGAGAGAAATGGCAATGGAGGGCAAATCTCTGGCTCCGTCTGAGGTGCTTTCAACACCACTGTCAGCACCTGAGCTCCCAAAAGACTGTGGAGAATGGGTGGCAGACCGTGGCCCTGTGTCATTTGCATTTCTGTTTTGTATGTTATCTCCACTGAAAAAGAAAAATCAGACATTCATTCTTCACCTATCCATTCCTAAATCCTCTCTCTTCAACATCATACTGTTTAGATCAGATGCATGCCGAAGAATAAAGAGAAATAAATTTGCTGGCTTTTGCCATAAATTTAAACAAAGCAGCACAGATCTCACTTGTCCTTAAGAATTAGATTGCCTCTACTAAATTTCCTAAACTACCCATGTATAATTACAGTTTATTTACAAGAAGAAAAAATAATATACAGTAAAAGCTTAGTGGATAAACTAAGATGGCCATAATCAAAATTTATACTAGGAGAATTGTTCCCAAAGTTTGTACATTTGCCAGATATGTATATAAATGTTTTGAATATTGAATATGCATATAAGCATATACAAGCTATTAGGAATTGAAAATTTTAAGAGGATACTGTTATGTATTATTTCTTAAAATCAAATGTATACAGATGAGATCATTATGAAGAAACACAGGCTCATCAAGTTGCTTTTCCATTCCAGATTTATAGGAATGCATTTGAGAATGGAATTTGCAATCCAACCTCCTCCTTCGTGTTACTAATCTTCCTCTGTTCTGTTGAAACACTAATGTAACAACAGCTGATTCTTTACTTTATATTCTTTGATTAAGTTCTTTACTAGGAGAGTGGTTAGGCCCTGGAACGGGCTGCCCAGGGAGGTTGTGGATGCCCCGTCCTTGGACGTGTTTAAGGCCAGGTTGGACGGGGTCCTGGGCAACCTGATCTGAATGTGTATGTTTGGTGGCCCTGCTAGGCAGGGGGGTTGGAACTACATGATCCTTGGGATCCCTTCCAACCCAGGTGATTCTGTGATTTTAAGCAAACAAGAAAAAAAAAAAAAGAGAAATGGAAGCCACTTTAATTGTTGCTCAACTACTTTAGTGAAATGACTAGAATGTGATGGACAAAGAAGATGTGAAACGTGAAGAGATTCCGATAAAGACTGAAAAAAGTTCCAATTTGTTTGGGATGAAATACTTTTATAAGAAAGTCTACCATGCATCATTAAAAAATGATTTTCTAACATATTGTTTATTGGTCGTTACCCACAGTAGAACAATATAAGAGCAATAGTTTTATGCTGGTAACAGTAAGGTACCAGTAATGAGCAAGGACATGGGGATATATATATATCCCACGGCCAACTGTTCTCCCAGGGCATGTGAGTAACACCCACAAACATCAGTGTGCATTATGTCATGATCCACAATCAATATGTGACGCTTGGTTTACCAACATGTAACATCAATTTTGAGCACAGCTCTTAGGCCCAAATACCAAGCCACCTAAAGGCCCCAACATTTCTACAAACTGTGGTGAAGACTGAAAGAAAATCAAACTTTCTTTTGAAGAAGAGGCCTCATCTGGTTGGCACAAACCATTTGATCTCAGTGGAAAAGGAAGAAAACTATACAAGCAGCAGAAATGTAAGCAAACAACTTATACTTTTTGGGGAAGTAAAGCGCAGCAACTTCTGGATCCATGTCAGTAAGGTCATCTAAATAGACACCGTCAGCACCAAGATGCCGGCTTCGTTTGTCTGTAAGGGATGGTAGAAATAAGTCTATTAACAAGTCTCTTCTGTGTAAGAAGTCTGAATTGGTATTGCTATTTAGCTATTCATTTTAGGATTGAGAAAGAAGACAAGTCATAACAGTCTGTGAACTGCAGTTGCATAAAATAGTACTGCCTAAAATTTCAAAACAAGTTGCTTGTATACATTGCTCACACTTGGAACACACAAATGGGAAAACAGGAGAATTGTGAGATATGCTGCAGCTTTCCTCATTCAGAGGATTCATTGGGAATTGCAAACCGTTGGTCACTAACTTGGGCTTTTTTTGACTTCAAAGACATCAAAAAGTTTGTGAAAATTGCTATAAGCTTGTATGCTTACTGATAAAACACACCTGCACAAAGCAGGCTTATGTAGAATTTTCTTAATTATAAAATAATCAGAGCTCTAAAATGTAACATTTTGTAAGCAAGTATATTTTACATGAAGACTAACACTTGCAATAAAATACAGTAGGAATAGATCCCAAAAGTTAGGAAACAGATGCAGACATCTCACAAATTCAAGACAAGATGCATACTAAGAATATATAACTAAAATTGCTCAATTTAGAGTATATCTATTGTTTGTGTAAAAATCCATGCTACATCACTGTACAAGAACAGAGAGACTCAACAAGTACCAGCCATGCACAATAGCTCTGAAAGTGGTCAAAGCAAGTGAATCAACAGATCTAGAGTGGGAATGTGCCAAAAACAAGATCTCTGAATTCAACCATATTTGATGAATTTGGAGCAAATTTTGCAGCCTTGCCAAAAATACCCAACAAATGAAAACTTCTGTCCTTCTATACTGTGAGCAACTCAGGTTTTGAGTGTTCTTTGTAAAATTTATTCCTTTCCAAGTCTGAAAGTGTCCTAAGGGCACAGATTAATTTATATGGCAATGGAGTGCTTCATCACCATGAACTTTAAAAAACAAAATCATACATGTAAATATGAAGAATCAAGTTTTACCTTTCTTTCTGGAAGGAGAATCCATCTTGCCAACTGCCTGAGCTGAGCAAGCCGCAGCTTGTTTTATATCCTCATTGGCAGGCAACGATAGTACAGCTGCTCCTGCAGATTCTGTCTCTGGCTTATTTGTCTCAGCTGGCAAGGGCTCAGTTTCATCAGCAGTTGCTGCATCAGTCTGTCCAAGGACAGGTAGAGGAGACACACCATTAAACTCCTCTATAGGAGCACTCTGGATGACCCGAAAGTGAGTGCTTTCAGAAGGATTTACATCTATTGTGTTGGGTTCCTTAGCTTTGATCAAAGAACTCGTCTGTAAGGAAAAAAAAAAAAAAAAAAAAAAAAAAAAGACTGCTATACAGAAAAGCTCTTAAAAAAATGCAATAGTTTCACTTGTACAATACAAGATCAGATTCTCAAGGTGAGCAAGCCACAAATAACTGAGTTTGATGCTTCAAAATACAATAGCCTTTTACTGCACTACTTGCTTGTAAGTATGTTTTATATATAATGTTTATATATATATACACACACACACACAAATATAATATAATGCAGCTGCATCCTGGGTCCAGGAAAATTTTGTTCTACAGTGGGTTCTGCAGTCCTCATTTCCCACACACCTGTGTGAGAGCACATCACAGCTCCCACCTGACCTCCTCTCTTTCAGCACAAACTGCAGCTTTGCCTTAGAAAGTAACCCTGACAAACATTGTTGACTAGAGTTCTCATACAATCAGAATGCTCCCAGGGAAAAAGATGTGGCTTGCTGTAACTTACCAATACTCCAGGTTAAGTTTTTTCAGCTCTCTATAGGCACAATTCTAGATCTCCCTGGAGTGCAAGACATGAGGCCTTCTTACGGAGAGAACTGCACTACAACAGCAGCTGTACGGCTACTGTAACCTTCATGTCAGAGCAAGCAAACATTTACAAGGTGATGAAGAGCATCCAAAGCTTAACTCCCACTTCAGACATGGCCAGATAAATTCACAATAGCTTGGTTAGCGACACAGATAGGGATTGCAAAGGGAAGAGTCTCTGAGAATAAGATCTGCAAAGCCTACTTTGCTGGCCTGCATAGCCTGGGTTGTCCCTTTATTCTACTCCTGTCCCATCGCCCCCTACAGTCCTTCCTGCAGAAAAGCCAGCCTTCAGCAGAAAGAAGCAAAAGCTGCATACTCTGTGCCCCCGTAGCTGCAACGTGTCCTTGTAACTAGCAATAGGACAAGAGAGAAAGGCCTCAAGTTGCATAATTGTTCAGATTGATATTAGGAATAATTTCTTCCCAGAAAGAGTATTAGAACAGGCTGCTCAGGGAAGTTGTGGAGTCACCATCTCTGGAAGCATTTAAGGAAAGGGTAGATGTCCACCAAACCTGTCCCTAAGTACTACAACAGGACTAGATGACCTTAAGATCTGCTCCAATCTTAACGATTCTATCATCATTGTTTCTCTCACCCACAGGCAGGTACAAGTCCTCAATCTCTTGTCCTGAATGAATGCTCTGACTCAGCAGCTCCCATAAGGAGACAGACACACCTGACCAGCAGCACACTCAGCTGCACATGGCTTGGCAGACAATACTGCTGGCACACCACAGATCCTGCCATCTAGCAGAGCTCTCAGAAAAGCCAGATGGCCTCAGGCTGGACACAGGCATCAAGCCAGTCGAGTCAGGACATCCAAGAAAGCTGCACATCTGGGCATGTGAAGATTTGTTGACAATTGCAGGTGTTTCTGGATATATATACACTCAAACAGCCACTTTCATTTTTGGTGAATCAAACTGCTAACACCAAGCACCTACTTTGCATCTAAGGCTCTTTAGGAACAAAACGCAATTTTCCTACATGAAACCTTACAATTTCATGTGAAAATGGGATCTCTTCTCCCTTCAGAAGCCTGCAATAAAGTAAGCACATTTGCCCAATCAAAGCACAACAGATGCCAGCAAGGAATTAAACTGATTAAACCACATACCTTCGTAGCCTGTGGTAGCTCTCCCCAGGCCCAGTGCATGTGTGGATTCTTTAGTCCACTCCTGTCTGTAGATTTACTGACTAATTCTGAATCACTTTGAGGAGTAGGAGGACGTGAGCCTGACGGACTGAAGAAAAATAAACAAGAAAAGAAGTAGTACTTACTACAGAAATACTACAAAACCAAAAATAACCTTGACACAGTAAGCACATTACAAATTGACATGCACCAGTCCAAAGTGTTGGAAGTTTTATGATTATTATCAGCCAATTGAGACAGTATGAAAGCAAGGAAAAACATTTCGAACAGTTCAGGATCTTCTTAATACTAGCACACAGTGGTCTCATAATCTGCCATCTTTTAGTAACTGCCATCACAGAAGCAGACTTCAAGAAGATGAAAAAGATGAGATGAGCACAGGACCTGAATATTTCAGAAGATCCTTTTTCCTATGTGGAAAAAAAAAGAATTTGGAATGGGGATGGCACCAGAAGCAGTAGATGAAGAGATGTTAGTATTGTTACAGTGGACATGAAGCATAGAAGTGATTCACTCAGATCAACAAGACACCTTACCCTGACTAAGTAATTAACCTAAAGGTATTCAGTTTATTGCTTCTTTTTACTGACTTGTTCAGTTCCATCCCCATATATGCATATTTATAGGGAAAACAGCAGGAGTAGTACACAAAGAAGTTGAGTGATCCCAGCAGAAAAATATTTAACTTTTTGTTTTGCTGCACTGGAATATAAAATCATTTATTTATCAGGAGATTATCAGTTTTGCAACATATTTTTAATCTGAAGTCAACAAAGTGAAGTCAATTTAGTCCTTAATAAATGATGCACTGATTTCAAGGGTAAAAGGAAAAAATCATAATTATCTACTCTGCCTTTCTGCGTGATGCAACTCATAGAATTTCACCCCAAAAATCTCTGAAGAAAGCCCATTATTTTTTGAGCCACAGAATTTATGGCTGTTTGAGAAGTCATTGGTATATTCATTCCATCTTGATTCACAAACCACAAGAAAAAAAAATAATAATAATCCACAACATTCATAGATCAAGGGTTCAAAGCTGAGTTATCTTCACTGTTAAAAAGCTTTCTACATTGGTCCAAGTTCTTCATGTTTGATTTTTTTTATTTTTTTTTTTAAAAAAAAACTTTCTTCTAAATAAACTGAATCCACATGAATATCCAAAATAGCTTTGCTCTTCCAAAACAGGACAGTTTTGTAGAGCATGGTGGGGGAACTCACTGGTTACAGGCAAATAGCTACTATGCACTTACACAAAACAGCTTTGAAAGACCTGTGAACTTCAGTCCTGAATATTATCAACTTTATCTGCATTATTGCTTGTTTTTAGCTCTGCTGCACTGGGACATATCTTGAATATGGAAACATGAACACTCTTCAGCTACAAATGATTAAATTATAGAGTTTATAAAAGGACCAAATACTCATTAGTCCATAAAGTACCATCTGACACATGAAGGAATTAATGAAATATGTTGTAAAAGGCAATTTCAAGCTCCAAGGATTTAAGAAATGCCTGGTGGCATTTTCAATATCTTTCACTAGCCCACTAGCAAATTTCTGGAACTGGCAATACGCATCTAGGGCCCACTGAAAATTTGCATGTTAGGAATCTGGACACTTAAGAAAGTCTTTGCCAACAATGATCCTATTGCAACTTTAAGCTCCAAAAATCTAACTTCAAGGAAGCATTATCACCACACTAATCAGTGCATTATAAACATTTTAACTTTCAAAACACCTATTCTACTTCAAAAAAGCCTTCTGTCCAGGCTTTGGGGTGTATTCAGATCAAACTCCCACCTTACTCAGCCAGACAACTGAAGAGAATACAGGCATTAATTCAGCTTGGGCTAGCAACTGCATTTTGCAGTGAGAATACAAACCAAGGAGTGGAGCAGAGGGGCCTTGCGTTTCCCAGAATTTTCTCTGAAAACACAGTTTTCTTAGACACACAACTAAGTGAAGAAGAACCGTGACATTTATTCCCAGACATACATGTGTAGGTGCTTGAAACAGCATACGTTAACACTGAGTTCTGCTCTGAGAAAGCTCCTGATGCAAAAGGCTGCTACCCACTCTCCTAAAACAGAGCATACACCATCTCTTGAACTTTCAACACAAGTACAATACCCATTTTACATGGAATAAATACTAACACAATACCAGAGGAGACCATAATTACCGTTGCAATGGCATCTCAGTGTAAAAGGTTTGATATCAAATCAGAATGTAAACACATCTATAAGGCAAAGAGAATAAACTATGGTCTTGTTTACAAAAAAGAATACTAAAACATTTTGACCTTTTATATAATCTAGAATATAAACTGGAATTTTCCAAGCCATCGAGAAACATTAGCATGGAGTTAGAGACCTTCCAGTGAGAGCTGTTTTTCTATTAGAGAGAAATATCCTTCTTACTTCATACTATCTTGTTTAACACTCAGCAGCTACTCTCTCCCCACATAATACCCTGCTGGAACAGCAATTTATGTGTGCAGAAGGCAATTATGCAAACTATAGTCTTGCTTATTTACTGTCTGTTTGCATAGTTCTACCTCCATGTATGTGACGCCAGATTTGTCTCCTTTATCTGTGCAAGGACTATTTTAGCTGCTATTTCCCTCAAAATATTGCTACCAAAGTAACATCATACTGGAGGCTAATAAAGCTCACAACCACTTTTTTTTTTTTTTATTTTACTCCACTATCATAGAATCACCAAGGTTGGAAAAGAATCATCCAGTCCAACCATCCACCTACCACTATTTCCCACTAAACCATGTTCTTCAGTACATGTAAACATTCCTTGAACACCTCCAGAGTGAGTGATTCAACCACCTCCCTGAGCAGCCCATGCAGCACCTGACCATTCTTTCAGAGATTTATTTCCTAATGTCAGACCTGAATCTCCCCTGTGCAACTTGAGTCCATTCCCTCTAGTCCTATTGCTAGTTACAATAGAAGAAGAGACTGAAAATACTATATGAAATTAAACCTTGGATTAGTGTTATACTTGCACTAGGAAAGTCAATAAAGCTGAACTGCAAGATCACATAGGACTTGTAGTTCAGTGATATTAATCTAGAAGCAATTCCCTAAATAAAAGACTCCAAAGGATTTTTATTTCTTACACCATCAAGACATTTGTAACTCAGGCCAAGCTATACCTTGCCTTTCATACAATTCTTCTGTCCTCAAGTCAGGCACTGACGCAGCCCAGATGAATTTCTACCCCCTTCTACAGATTGCTGAAGATACTGCAGGTCAAACTAGAGCTACCAGTCCTCTCAGCAATGCATAAGGACAAACTCAATCATTTAGGCAATCTATCCAATCCACATATCCAATCCATAAACACCAAATACTGGTGTCCCAGACCTATAGATTTCTTCATACAAGCTGTGCATGCAATGAATGTAGTCTGATGTCAAAGAATTAGAAACTTGGACTGTGGCTAGCAGCTCTATAGCAGGAAACCACGCTTATCTAAGAAATACTTCCTACTGAAAGCAAGGAAAGCCCAAGAAAACAGCAGTGTGATCTGCAAAAAAGTCCTGACTTGACTGAAGTCAAACAAACTGCAAAAAGATAGGCAGAAGGAAAGGGAGGTACCTCATTTACATTCCAGAACAACTGTTCAGAGTTTCTGAGCCTCCTTTTGAGTGATCACAGTAGCATTTCTGATCTCATACAGAGGAAAGGAGTTGTAGACAGAGAGGGCCTTATCTAGACCAGTCACTACAGCACTTTAGCTGCAAGTCTCAACTGCAGGACAGCTAAACTCCAGATCAAATTTGATGGAGCCATACAGGGCATATTATTTGTTCAAGGCCCACTTGTGCATACGCTCTACCTTCCCATGTAAATACTGGGGAGAACATCCCTGACTACCCCAGGATTTCACACAGAGTAGCTGTTGTTATGGCTGTTTAGGCTATAAAGAGTAGATCTCCAAGCTGGGAAACCCTTAAGATTTTCAGTTTTTAATACTACCTTTGGTATCTAGCTTGGTATCTATGTTGAGATAAGCAACGTGCAATTTAGTCTGATTCACTACTCAAAGCTTCCCCAGCACTAAAGGAGAACCAAGACCATATTCAGACACATAATTTAGAAGGTTGTACTTAGTTGCTATAACATCTCTCCACTAACTGGAAAGAAAGTGCCTGGCTGCAGAACCTTGAGACACCTTGAACACAAGGCATCTACAAATATCTGTATCCACTTTCAGATTTGTAAAATTCCAAGGTTAGAGGATGCCCACACTACAGCAAAGGCATAACTGTGGGTCTCCCAAGTTTTAGGCTCTGTTGTGCCATCTTTCCTCCTAAGATGCACCCCATTCCAATCCAATGTGCAGAGAGTATTTCAAAACAAGCAACAAGAGAAAAAGAGGTTCTGTTTTGACATTTGGCTCCTCCCATTTAAAAAAAAAAAAAAAAAAAGCAGAATTTGTATTTCTGGGTTTTAAAGGTTGTGTTTTGCTTTTACTTTCACTGGTGAAGAAGTAAACTCCTCAGGAGAAACAATGGATAGAAATGTCATTTAAATATATATTAACTGTAAAAAGACACATGGAAATGCCAGTCTTCAGAGGACTGCAAAACTTCACTAAGTTCCTTCTCCTTTTTGGGGGGTATCATCTTAATAAACTTATCTTTAAACTAGGTCTTCAGTGCCCTGATTTGATGGATACATTAGCTACCCTCATTCAACGTGTCATTCAAGGCAACCTACCTCCAGCCAGTGCTCACAAAGAAGAGAGGAAGTGATTTCCAAAGTCACTTTTATTAAAGTGTCTGGGTTAGCAATGAGTACAGTTATAAATACAGCACAGTTCACGTGCAATTAATGTGCCAAGAGCATATTAATGCGCCAAGAGCATATTAATGCATTAAAAGGATTAAAGAATAGCACAGAAAAGTGGGAGAACAACTGTTCTACCTGTCTGGAGGAGAAAAATGAGAAGACTGATGAGGACAAGAGTTAGACAGGCCACCATCTACTGGAACAGTGAGAAGAGAGGATTGCCCTGTGCAATCTATAGGTTTACTGGACAACACAACATGTTGGTAAGAAAAAAGAAATAAAACAGTGTCATTATTCACAACTAGTGCTGATTAACATAAGCTCTTTGTGTATTAGCTATGTAAATGATGAATTTACATCTAGAGTTTTCGAAATACAGAATATTGCAATCCAGAAACAAACAGAATGTACAGTAAAAAAAAAGCCACTGAGGAGGCAGGGTATTCACACATACTGTCACCAGCTAATCTCATTAAGCTATACAGTCAGTGCAGAAAGTTTATTATAGAATGCAATGTAAAACATCTAAATTAAGCCTCTAAAAATCATTTCCTTGCTTTCCTTTCTTCCATTCCTCACCCACAGAGACAGTTCGTTAAGACATACCATAAAGTCTTACTGATACTACCCCACTTGAAGTGGTGTACAGCCACATAAACACACACACACTTCATTCTTATTTTAATGAATGCAACTGACAACAAGATATCAATTTCTGATGGTATTTCCCAAATACCAGGAATGGACATGAACATTCATTTAAAAAAAAAAAAAAGTATAATCAAAGTATACTTATTGAGTATACTCAAAGTGCTTAAAGTTTTACATCTCTGCATTGACTGACATGCTTAGAAAGTGTGTGCATCAGGTAAAGATTCAGCTTTGACAACACATATAACCTCTTTGAAGTACACACATCTGTTAATACCACTGCTTGCACATAAGTATTCTTTAGAATTTGTGGGCCTGAATTTGTATGCACGTGTTTGTTAAATCAAGGGCAAAGTTAACCTGAAATTGTTCTACAGTATGTGATTTCATCTAGCAGTTGACAGTGATCATGTTTGTTGTCAAAACTTTCCTAAGACTTGATACAGCACTAGCATGTAAGAAATTAATGAAACGAGAACTATCTAGGACTGTACCATCAGAAAATTACCTTTGAATAGGTGACCATTCCCCATCCGAACGAGGGTATGATGAGGACTGAGAATAAGTAGACACAGCAGGTGCCTTTATATCAGATACGTCATCAACAAACACATCCGGAACAAGAATCCTAGGAAGAGACATGACATTAAAAAAAACATTTTATTACTCAACCATTACATACTACAGACAGCTGGGGTGGGAGTAAAGGGGGGAAAAACACGTACTGCAAAGAAGAATTGACTTAACCTGAAGTAAAAAGACAGAAAAATGTCATCTGATTCACACCTTCCTAGCCCACAGCATGACTAAAGACTGTTCTTTTTTTAAGTGCCATTTTCATTATTCCTGATAGTAGCACTCCTGATAGCTTTCTAGCCAAAAGCTCTTTCTTAGAAAGAATGTTTATCAGCCATGTGTACCAACTTCAAAATTACTGTCAGAGGTACAGAATGGAACATTAACCCTGCATTAGGTTTCCATTATACATCTCCATTCCACTGTGATACCTTGAGTTGTCCAATGGTTCCTTTTCTTCCTCTGAGCTAATCTCTATAGGAAACATGTCTTCATCTTCTGATGTGTCTCCAATGTCTTCTCTTTTTAAGCTGTCTATTTTGTGGGTAGACTTCCTCCTCTTTTTCCTTCTCTTTTTCACAGAGCTACAGACTGGAGATGTTTCATTACCAGGCTGGGATCCATGAGCTTGGGGTGGTACTTGTGAGGATACACTGTTGTCCAGGTTTCTTATCCTGTCAATTGAGTTCCTCTTCAGCTGAGCTTCCATTAACACAGTTCCCTCAGACAGAATGGGGGACGTAGAGAGATGATAAGGAATTACTTCCTGAGAAAGAAATCCAAACCATGCAAAAAAGTTAGTTCTTCTGTCAGTCATAAATATAGATCTAAAATCCACACACAATCAACAAAATTTAAGACATCACTCAGAAAAGTAACAATGATTTGATATCTGGAAGCTCAGCAAGATCCCTCTGTAGAAGAATTTGAGAATTCATTCCACTTTGTACAGTAACAAAAATTAAGGGCTTTACTGATAGATTACTTCACACAGGGACTGCTCAAAACAACTGTGGCCATAACTTACATAGGCTAGTACTTAATTCCACAGTTCAAGAGCAGAAATTTTCATTTAAATACAATTCATGTGAATTACAGTTGCAGGATGACGTCTTTGGCGAGTACCACAATTACTCTGCACACAAACGTTTACAAGGCACATGCACTTTATGCTGGCAGTCTGCTGAGTATATGTGTTCAAAGTCAAGATTTCTGAGAGAAAAAAGAAGCTGTGAAAATACCATCCTCTGCTGTACGCATCTTTGGATCACATGAACTGTGTACATGTTATTTCTGTTCACACACTGAAATGCATATAAGCCCGTAATTTTTAGTTATGTGATGATTTTCTTCAGGTTCTTTCCAACCTCAGCAATCAAGAAAAAGTTCAGTACTGAGTTCCAATAGCAGAAAAATATCCAGAAACTTTCAAACTTACAGAACGGATAAAAATACATTTTTCAACAAAACCTCTAAATTCAGAATTGACTTTGAAGAGTAAGCACTGTGTTTTAACAAACTGGAATTTTGATTCTTACCTGATTGTTATCCATCTCCTGCACAAAAAAGGCTTCTCCATTGTCTCCTAGTTTCATGTGCAAATCTACAGCCTCTCCATTAATTTCTATGTCAACCTGGAAGTCAATAACATTTTTGAAAATTAAAACAACATTGTTTTAGATACACAGTTCATGTTCAGCTATCCTACCTTTGTCAATGGACAAATACTTCTCAGTGCAGCACAGGAAGCCTCCTCATTAACAAAAAAAAAAACCACTCCACTACACTTGTGAAGGGGCAGGGAAATTTTCTTGCCCTTCACAAGGCCATCAGTTTTCAGGATGCTGCCCTAACTTACTCAGCTCATTGTTGTCTAGCTCCCCAGGAAGGTTTATAGCCATTACATAAAGCCCTGAATCTTTTTAATTGAAATTCTAGATGCTTCATTTGCCACATAAATCTTTTCTCCCTTTTAATTCACAGCCTAATTTTTCAGCGTGCAGAAAGTGCTTCCACATACAAATTTCTAATATCCTGTCTTTCAAATTAATTAAGCAAGTACTATGAGAAGCAGAAACAAAAATGTTTTTTTTTTATTCTCAACACGATCCACATATTGATTTCTTCCATGCATTTATCTTAGAGCTGTACAGCACCAACCATTTCCATTTCTTCTCAGGAACATTTCTCTCTTTGCTTATAACCATTTTTGCCACTAACTTCTTTTTCACTGTATCTATGGAGGGAGACTTGGACAACCTACATTTACATTTCCAGAAATTGCACGTGTTTGGCATAGGAACAATTTCAACTGTTATCCATTTTAATTGTTTGCGTTCCTTTTTGATTTCGGTAAGACTTAAAGAATGATGACATTTGAATTTTTCTGCTGAATAATTACAGATACACTCTCAGCTCAAACTATATGTGCTTATGAATTATTTCCTAAAATAATCTGTCATGCATTAGTCACTGGCAACTTCTGATCCTACACTGTACGGCCAGGCCGTTCAGCTTGATTACATTTATCTGAAGTCCTCACTGCTTTTTCTAGCTTCGATTTGTCTTAGTATTCTTTACCTCAAAAATATTACTTCATTGTAAATCCCTTTTTTTTTTTTTATAAATACCAATGCACATAGTATAAAAAGTCATCTTTCAACGTAGTCACTAATGAAATTGAGAATATGCCCAAATTAGCACATTCAAAGTTCTGCTCTATTGAAAATAAACACTACAAATTTCATGGTTCCTTTTTATTATTACGGTCAACATCTTAGCAATTATGCTTAGAAGTGTGGCAGTCTGTAATAACTGTATTAAGTGAAAATTGCTTCAATTTGAGTACTTTGTAAAGAATGTCCAAAGAAAATCTTGTCTAACATACAGAGTATCTAGTAAATTTCATACCACTGGAGTCAAATCACAGACAGAATATATCCAAAGTGTCAATTCTTACCACTTTCTCCCTGGAACGCAGAACTCCCATTTTCCCAAAGCGGACGTGGAAAGGAGAACACTGAAGATTTCCATCCGGCTGACGTACAACAATTACATCAATACATCCCGACAGCGTGGCTGGGTTTAGTCCCTTGTAGAGTTCCTTCACAGTTACAAACACTTGCCCTGCTAACTGTCCAACGTAGTTCATGGTTTGGACCTGAAAAGCAACAGATAAAACAGATTAGGTTTAGAGCTCTGCTTTATATTGTAAAGACATTTGAGATCGAGACATTTTACATTCCAGCAAGGGTTATTCTCTTGTTTCATTAGTTAATAACTTCACATGAAATCAGGATTTCTCAATGACTTTATTTAGAGCTGACATAGGTGTGGAGAGTTATCAAAAAACAAAAACAAAAGAACCTTTTAACTCTCAGAATTATAACAACTTCCAAAAGTTTGTAACATTAGTTGCATTCAAAACCACAGTCAGACTTTCAGACTGTAGCTCATAAGTGTTTCTACTTTATCACTGAAGAGAAAAGCATTATTGCAGCACAAAACATCCCCTCCTATCATTTATTGTGCTCTAAAAATGGAATATATTTTTCTCGTGTATTTCTACAGGCTTTTAAGGGCAGGGCAAGGGATGGTTCTAAGCAGATCTCCTTTTTCACTGCATTAAAGACAAAGACTATTCTCCCACTTAGCTGAGATTTCTGCTGTTAGAAGTATATTGTAAGACACACGTGCATAAAGTATGCAATATGTTTTGGCACTCCAGAGCTTCTGAATTTTGGAGTGCTTTTAAATACAACTCTACCAATCTTTTAGAATATCTTCTTAGTACAAGCAAGTTTATCAAAAATGAGGCACGTGTTGATGGTTAAAGTGGTTGGCTGCTTGGCTTTATTTCCCTTCCTCTCCCAATTAGTATAGTTTCCTCCCTTCTTAATACATATTCTCATCACACACAGTCCCTACACAAGACACTCATAAATCCAGCAAGTCCTTTGAGGGGTCACAAAATATGAATGAATTTAAGCAGATGCTCTCCAGAGCACTAGAAACTCCATGGACTGTGTTATTTCCTTTGTTTTTTCCAATACCTCTTGCAGATCCTGAGATAGTGATTTCAAGACTGTTCTTGTACGTACTGAGCCTATACTTAGAATGCCTGGCATACATGTCCCTTACAGGGCTGCACATCACCTGGATACCAACAGAGAGGGCAGGAAATGGTAAAACTCACACTGCTGATGAGAACAGAATCAAACTCAGTCTGAGACAGTCACTGCATTGAGCTGCATAGCACTTATTAAGCAGCAGCTCCAACACAGGCTTCTTTCAGCTGTGCTCTCTTGGTAACAACAAAATGATGCAAGTATGAAATGATTCAAAAATAGCTCTGATTTTTAACAGTGATTTATACTTAGAAGAGAACAAACAAACCAAAAAATAACTATTAAAAGAATGCCATGAAAACTGACCTGTCTATTTCAAAGTATTTGGCACTACACAAAATGTTAACTGCTGAAATCCATAAATCTGCACTCAGGCACCTAGGAAGTGCCACTGATAAGTCAAAATGTGAAAACTTGATAGCAAAAGGTCATAATATTCAATGCTCCAGTATCCAACTGGCAGCAGCATCCTGGGCTCCTACAGTAAGAGTATTAGTAACATACTTTTCCTAAATGTATATCCAGCAGAGAGCTGTTGCACTGAGAACTTTAAACTCATGATGCACCTTGTGCTGTGTCATAATTGTTGGAACAGCAGATTAGAAAAGGGCTTCTAGAGTCCCACGTACCACAGCCCTCCTTAAAGGAGGGGCAGCTCGGCCCAGAATCCCAATGGAGCTCTCACTACCTTCAAGGATGGAGATTTCACAGCCTTACCAAGCATCTGTTACCACATCCTCATAGCGATGATTTTCTACCCAGTATCTAACTAGAATTTCCCACAAGTTGTGCCCTTTGCCCCGTTTTATCACTCTGCACATCTGAACAAATCCTGCTTCCATGGTATTCCCAGCAGGTTGCTGACTGCCCTAAAGATTGAGCAGAATTAACTTTCCAAGATTCTCCCTGCAAGTCGTAAGCTTTAGCCCCCTAATTATCTTCATAGCTCCCACATGAACGCTCCAAGAAGCCAGCACTACACACACACACTTACTGTTAGTAGATTTTTTTTTAGTTATCTCTGCTTTGGAAAAATACTTCCAGTTTCTATGAAGGATTTGTCTAACCTAAATAAGAAATTTATTTCTTGTTGTGCTAGCATTAAACTTAAAGCTGGCTACATTTAGATTCCAAATTACATGGTTTATTTGACACCAGTTGTTGCCTGGCCTGCATAAGCAACAAAATTTCTAGGTGCAACACAGATGTGACTTCCTTTTCCTTGGTGAAGGAGTACTTGCTGGGACTCGACATACACCTGCTTTTTTGGGAGGTTAGAGGTAACCAGTCCAAACAAAGAGAACTCACATCCTCTTAACAAGTTACATCAGCAGATCTCCTCAGCTCCTCAAAGGAGAATTATGGAACTGCTCTCGTTCATGACAAATCCAACCACACTGCCTGCCCTGTCTTAGGACACAGATTATTTTTATGCTGGTGAATTAAAAGTGAGACGCTATCCTCAAGCTCTGTGACCAAGTGGAACAGCACAGCTTGCTTCCATACAGTGCAGCCTCTAATCCCTATAAAAAAAAAAAGCCACATTCAAATGGTTCACTAGTGCCAGACATTAAGTCCAGACTGGGCTGAACCTGGCCCATGCTTGTAAAATCACCGCAGAATTAAAAGAGGATGACAGATTAATCCTATGGGAATCACACAAAAATGGTTTCATATTTCCAACATAGGGAGCAAAAGGGAGTTCTAGCAGGGGGATAGTTCAGAAATGGGACTCAGACTCAAAATATGGGCCCTCTGTCCTAGCTTTTGCACAGACCCACCAAAGCTGAAATTGATTGGACAACCTACAGTCAGGCAATACTGTGTCAGCACTCCAGGAAACCAACATTCCTCAAACCCCAGAGAGGCTGCCTGTGGTTTTGGTGCAACATTCACTCTGGCATCTCCAAGACATCTTCCACACACTAACCAGGCAGCAGTGACTTCAGCAATAAGCACAAGGTTTACGTCATGGGTTAAACCCACTGCCTGGTTGTTAATCACACTGGATTTAGCAAAACTTGTTTTCATACTGTGGAAGCAAGCTAGTAGACAGAGCATAAACTATTTTTTGCTGCTGGGAAAGTTCAAAATCCTTTTGATCAAAGCTTTCAGCAAGTGAGAGCAGCCTGTAATGCTTCTGCCATTATTCTCAAATGGTCTGAAACACTCCACAGACCCAAATGATTCATCCATTATGAAATTAAAAGTATTTTCTAGCATCATTTTTCATGTCAAACTAACTAGCATCCCCTGCTGAGGGAATAACTCCAATCTTTTTGTTATTAAGACAGCCATCATTTTTCAGATGTTATTGTTTTGTGGAAAATACGTAAAAAATAAAGCATTGGGTGCTAAATTATTACTTAATTATGTAACTTAGCAAAGAGTAGCCTTAACAATATCATCTTCAGTCCTTCCTGAAGCTCCAACTCTACTGGATGACCAATCTAGTTCAAAAGCACCACCACCTGAATCATCTGCTTCTTTTGTACAGGTACACCAAGCTGTACACACACACTGGGAAAGCTGGTAATTGCACCCTTCCCGGCCCCTTCTTTGCAACCCAGCTCTTCCCCCATACCATTCCACCTTTCTTTTCTGGACACTACCCAATAAAACACTGAAAGTTATCACAATTAAAGACACTGTCACTGTGCTCGTGTCCTAGTTAGTAAGCAAAATCACATCACAGAGCTCATCGTTTGATTGCTTAGACTGAATCTATTCAAACTACAAAAACCTGGTACATTTTTGGCACACAAGCACTCTCCCAAGCAATTCTTGGGTAGCTGGCCCATCAGTAGCAGCAGCAGTTCAGACAAACAAGAGATGACTCCCAAAGAGCAGTTTAGATGTAGTCACCTTCCTTAAAAGTTAATGCACAGATGCAAGCAGACTAAGCTAGCTGGTCTGTCTGCCAAGAATGGCCTTTGGCATCCTTTTATGTGTTAGCATGAGTAAAACATTTAGGTCCCTTTCAACACTTTCTCCAGAGTTCTGCAGTTCCACAAACTGCAGAATTTTTTGCAGTTGCACAAAGAAGATGTGCAGCAATGCTAAATGTAACACAAACAAAATCTGCAGCACAAAGGAACATACCACATTACAGACACACCTTTTCATTATGGATTTAAAACCTTATGTCATGATGAGACCCAAACTTTCCCAATAAATTTTCCTTATAGCTTCGAAGTGGTGAAAGGGAGCCAGAAAGCAACGAGCCAGCATTCAGTTCAGATAAATCACTGCAGCACTGCAGCTCATGCCCACACTACGAGAACTTCCCAAGCCTGGGCTACATGGTTCCTTGATCTACTCTTGGCTTTTGTTATGAAGATGCAAAGCTTGAGAGAGACTGGACCACAGCTGGGGATCAAACTTTGGCTCCTCCAAGGGAATCAATCGCACACAGCAGAGCAATCGGCAACACTTAAGAGACTCCTAGGTAAGTAACGACTTCTATCATTTCATTATGTGCCAAATATTTCTTTTCTTGACTCTGAAACAACTCAGTTTTGTTTGCAGTATTGAACACCAACCTCCTCTACAGCAATTAATAGAATTCTTCAGAATTGCATCAGAGTTTATGTTCTAAAAACATTGATAACAAAATTATTCCAGTAAGCTTCTCTGGAGGGATGTTTTTTTGTTTTTTTTTTCCAAAATTAAGATAAACCCTTCACATCTATAGAGTAACTGCACTAGCAGTGACTTCCTAACTACTAAAGCTCATAAAAACTAATATTCTACTCATTTAGAAGCAGTATTTCTATCTATTAGTAAATGATTAACATCTTGCAAAGTCATTAATGCTGAGTCACCACCCCATCCAAACCTCCTAAGTTCTACCACATTTCTGGTTAGACTCCGAAAATCATTAATAGCTTTTGAAAACCTTTTTCTTTATTACTTGCTGGCTTCTACATCAATCCAACCCAGGGTCTTGGCTATGAACCCCACTGTGCAGGCACCACGTAGGTTTGCAGCAAGTCTCAGTTTAGGTCCATGTTTTGCAACAAGATCCATATATCATCTTGTCCAAGTTACTAAGGTTGAGATATAGAGTGCGATTTAACTCCCACTGATGTCAAGTGAGGTCTGTTACATGTGGCTACATCATAAGGTAGCAAAATACAGACAAATCTTGCTAAACAAGACTTATTTCCTCCCCCCCCCCCCCCCCCCCACCATCTAAGAAAGGGAACCTGGACACACAAGCTAGAAGGAGCCATGAGCAGCCACATTTCTGATATGGACAAGTTGTGGGAGTGCCGTCTGCTGAACAGTGCAATTCTGGTTGTTTCACAAATAGTATGACAGACTCTAGACCAAACCTGATTATGCACAGTTTTTCCAGATCTCACCACAGTCACAGCAGTATGAGACAGACTACATTCCTGCAGGTGATTTGACAATGCTTCTGGTCAGCTGGGAACAGGTGCAAGACACTTGCTCATCCCAAACTAGAACAGAACATGCTGCATGTGGCTGGCTTGACACCAGAGTAAGAGCATTCTGCTTCCTGCCAGCAGAAATACTTTAAGGTTGGGATTATTCTGGGCTTAATTCTATTAGACAATTTGAATCCCATTTGGAGTTAGCCAAGAGCTGTGACTTCTTATAATGTCCAAGGAGTCAAACAGATCAAGTGTCAAAGTTACTCCCCAAGCTGCAAGTCATTCCCAGAACCTGCTTATTCACAGATACAGCCTTTGACTATCTGATGACTGTCCTACTTGTTATTGCTGAGATTCTACCACAATCTCTCCCATTTGCAATACTACATTTCCCATATACTTGAGCAAGTTCCCATAAATAATAGCATATTTCATTGAGAGCACCTGAAATCACAGATTCAATCTGAAGACTACAAACACGCCTGTACTGAATCCTGGCATTCAAACAGAAGGAGGACACAGCTGGCTTCTTGTCCCATAGCCAGCGTGCCTGAGCCCAAGTGAACTATCTCATGATCAGTTTAAGTCAACAACTGCAGTCCCACACCAGCCTCCCAAATGCACATTCCCAGCTTGCCTCAAGGGGACCACTAACGCCATACAAATTGACACCCACTTGAATTGGTACTGCACAAATACGATCAAACTTCACAACAAATTGAAACTACAGACCAATGTTTGAAACCAAGAGCTTTTGAATCAGGTGGTGAATATTATGGAAGATCACGTCCTGTGCTGCCCTGGGCTACTGTTCCAATGTCAGAGCAGGAACACAAATGAGAGAGGAGGCACAGCTGTAGCTCTATTCCTTGCTGACTCCTCACATGACTAGCATCCTCTCTTTCAGTGGGACTCGAAAATAAGTTTTCTTTCTGACTATACTGCCCTGCTGTCAGAGCTTAAAGTAAACACTTACTGCATTCCAAATGTTTTTAATGATTGCTGAGCGTACGTGTGCTCAACAGATAAACAAACACATACACCTGCACATCTATAGGTATGGAAAAGGGCTATAACTGAAACTTGCCCAGCTCCCTCACAACCAGACCACACTGAGCCAGGTAAGCAGATGCTGACAGGTGACACAAGCTACCAGAAAGTATCTAAAACCATCAGTAGCTATTTTTATGTCTTTATACCTAAAACCATCACATTATTGAACCTCTACCCTATCATCTCCTCACTTCTCCTCCAGTTCCTTTCATGGCAACAGGCTCTGTTCACTGTAACAACAGCATCTGGCTTCTAAGTGACAAGACGATGATAGCAAAACCTTACCCACAGACACTAAACATTTGCCAGTAGTTGCTATCTGAGACAGCACAGACACAGATAAAACCGCCGAGAAAACAAAACAAACAAAACACCCCAGACCGCAAACCAAACCAGAGGATAATCACAGAACAGAGACTCCCGACAGCCAAGTTGAGCTGCACGCACACAGCCGGCACCGTGCCGGCCAGGCCCTGCCTGTGACGCGCAAATCGTGCCACCTCCGAGCAGCGCCTACCAAACAGCGGCGAATCAGAGCGCTCAGCAAGGAAAAGGAGCTGCCCGCCGGAACCGTGGGATGTCCCGGGCATCCCACTCAGGCCAGAGGCACCTGCAGGTCACGCAGCCTCCCTTCCCACCCGCACGGCCCCGAGCCCCGGCTCTCGGCTCCCACCTCCGCCGCAAACCCAGCAGCAACCGCCGGACCCGGGCTGCCTCGGGCCGCTCCACTCCGTTCCCCGCAGCCGCCACCGCCTTTGTGCGCGCCGCCCGCCGCCGCCACGGCGACGCAGCCCGGCGGTACCGCCCCGGAGGAGGGACCGCGGCGGGGCGGTGTGAAGGGCTGCCCGGGACGGCCCTGCCCCCATCGGGCGGTGGGGCGGACCCGCCTACCGGCCTGATGGTGGTGGTGTGACGCGGGGGCGGACCGCCGTTGTTCCGCCGATCGAAGCGATGGAAGGAGGCGTGGAAGCCGGCCGCAAACGGCCCGAGGGCGGCGGTGCCCGTTCGGCCCCCCGGAGGCTGCGCGGTGAGCGGGCGGGCGGGGAGCCTCCTCTGCGTCGTCACTTACAGCTGTGTTCTCTCTCCGTTCGGCTGTGCCCTCGGGTCCAGAACGCTCTGTACCAAAGGCCGAACTAGGAGATGAGGACAGGTCGGTCACACGGCTGCCCCTTTCTGTGAGGGGGTGTCTCCTTGTTGGTTCCCTTAAAGTCATTGTTTCAAACTTGCAGTGACAAGAACAGAGATAGCTTGTGGTGCAGCTAACTAAATAGGGAAGTGGATGTGCACTGCTAAAACTACCAGATAGTGGGATCTCTCATAGCAAGTAGGAGGGGATGGAGCTAAGTGTCAAACAAATGATCAGGAAACAGTAAAACACAGGAAAAAAAAGGGCATAGAACATGCATAAGGAATGATCAAAGTTCATAAATGAGCTGGAGGAGAGCCTGCCAGATTTAGCCTTGAAAACTAGTTTTTTCAAGGTGTTTTTCATGTGCCTACATGTTCTGGTCCCCACCATGTAGCGCAGCAGAAGCCTGGGGAGAGTTCCTTGTTGAGCAATCAGCAATTAAGTCTTCCATTTTCTGTTAACTTTCCAGTCATACTGTGAAACAATCTCCTTGCAGTCTCCCCTCATCCCTCACCTACTTGTAATTCTTTGCAAGATTTTTCTTCAGCCGTTCTTTCTCCTGTTCTAACTCTGTTTGCTAATCCTTGTGCAAACCACAAGAACTGCTGGATGATGAGACTGATGCACTCTCACATGCTCAAATTCCTGTTTGGTGTTCTCCATTTCCAGTTACAGAGCTACATGAACAATTTCATCTCTGCTTTAGAACAAAAATTCAGTGAAGGCAGTTTCTGCCGGCACACAACAGATGTGGTTGTTCGCTTATTCCCCAAAAGAAAACAATATGCAACTGGGTCAAAAATCATAGACTCATAGAATCATAGAATTACAAGGTTGGTAGGGACCTACAAGGTCATCTAATCCAACTGTCCTCCCACTACTATTGCTACAACAAGCACTAAACCATATCTCGTAGCTCCTCATCCAGACACCTCTTGAACACTGCCAGGGATGGCGACTCCACCACCTCCCTGGGCAGCCATTCCAGTGCCTGACCACTCTCTGAGAGAAAAAGTTCTTCCTCATGTCCAACCTAAATTTCCTGTGGCACAGCTTGCAGCCATTTCCTCAGGGCCTGTTTGCTGCCTGGAAGAAGAGGCCAAACCCCTCCTCACCACAGCCTCCCTTCAGGAAGTTGTAGAGTCTCCCCTGAACCTCCTCTTCTCCAGACTGAACAATCCCAGCTCCCTCAGCCGCTCCTCATAAGCCCTGTGCTCCAGACCCCTCACCAGTTTCGTTGCCCTTCTCTGGACACGTTCCAGGGCTTCAGTGCCGTTCTTGCAGTGAGGGGCCCAAAACTGAACACAGCACTCGAGGTGCGGCCTCACCAGTGCTGAGTACAGGGGATGATCACCTCCCTGCTCCTGCTGGCCACACTATTTCTAATGCAGGCCAGGATGCCGTTGGCCCTCTTGGCCACCTGGGCACACTGTTGGCTCATGTGCAGCTGAGCATCAACCAACACCCCCAGGTCCCTTTCTTCCTCACAGTCATCCAGCCACTCAGCCCCAAGCCTATAAGGCTACATGGGGTTGTTGTGGCCAAAGTGCAGGACCTGGCACTTGGCCTTGTTGAACCTCATCCCATTCACCTCAGTCCAGAGTATCTGTGCTTTCATTTCCCATATAATTCCTTGTCCCTACAAGCACTGAGATGTGCTGGTGAATAGTCCCATCCCTGATGTGAATACAAGATGCTGTGCCTGTGCCAGCAGTGGACCCTGACCAGTGCTCTGCTGCATTCATGTGGAATGCAGTACTGTGTTCCCTCTGAGTGGGTGGTATCCTCCAGCCCTCACAATTCTGGACTGCTTTAATGCCACCAAAATTCCACTACAGGCTTTCACTACTGTATTTACATAAAAACATAATTGTAACACATTGAATCAAAGTCACTATCTTTCCACAGCCTCGACACCACCCACTCTTCCCTGCTGCTCAGAAATCCAGAAATGAGAGCCTCACTGTTGGAAAGTTGTGTCCACTTATTTACCATGTCCAGCCACCTGCTGCTTGATCCAGCCCACAAGTAAGGTTCTACATCTTTTTTAAGGGTTTGATGTGCTAGGTTACATTTTCTCTTTCTGTGTTGCAGTGCAAATATAGCCATGATACAAGTAAGATACTGAGGAAAGTGCCAAATGCTTGCTCAGCAACTACAAGATTCTGCTAGAAGCACGACACCATCTTAGTCCTTCTGTTTAGTTCTGCTGTTCGTGCTGATGTGACCATCATCTCTGAGGACAGTGTTCCTCAGATTACTTCTCAGAACAACTTCTGCTGACTGATTCTGAAATCTTTACTCTTCTGGTACTCAACTCGCTTCAGCTCAACTGTTCTCATCAGTGACATCTATTTAAAGAACCAAGCACTAGTACATAATCTATCACACCATACAAGCTTTAACATGGTCATGGATGTGGGTTTGGCTCAGTCCCATGTCTGGGCATAGTTTGGAGGATAGTATGGCCACAGACCATACCAGACTAAGAGGCACACTGAAGTTATGCACAAAACTGCATGTCTGAGGGAGTTGAACTATATGATCAAGAAGCATGCTATGCCCTTGCAAGAGAATAATTCATGGAGTGAAAAAGTTTTGAATCAGGTCATTTTCTTCTTTGTTTTCTGGAGGCATGTTTGGGCAACACAAGTTTATTTCCTAAGTTTTGACTCTGCAACTGTCCACAGACTTTCAAAGGACCTGCTCACAGAAGTTTTTTTCTTTCCATTCCTTCTCTGATTTGTATCCACCCATTATGACTCATTTAACACTTAATTCCTGTCCCAAAGAACTTACAGGTTATCAGTTCAGTTTATGTGCATATGGTTTTGGCACAGTGCTTCTAGCCTAGGAAGTAGTTTCATAATTACTATGAAAAGACAGGTTGCAAGAAATTTGACCTGTGTGGTCTTCTGATAATTAATAAAACTGGCTTTAAAAAACTCAAAAAGAAGAAAGGTTTAATAAAACTCAAGCATAGGTTACTAGAATTTAGTACATATGTTTATGCAGAAGAAAAAAGAAGAAAAAAAGCCTTCAGTTCTTGGGGCATTAGATCTTCCTGGCAAGCATGTTGGCCATTCAGAAAATGACCACTCAGACCAGAAAGTGATTTAATGCATTAGCTCTAATGCCTCTATTCCCACACTAAAACTGGGATACATCTTCAGGCATATAGTGCCTGGGTTATGAATGACTGCAATTGTTAATGCATACACGATGTCCATGTAAAAATGATTCCATAAATAGAGAACTTGAGCTTTTAGCTAACTTATAATGTATTCATAAGCAAATATAGCTCTGGAATCTGGTGCTGTTGTCTTGATAATAAACTCAGTAGCTCAAGCTGTATAAACTATATAAGCAGTATAAGAGTTGATCTAGTTTTATTCCAGTATGAGCATTACAAACTCTGGCTCTCCAATTATCTAATTAAACGTTTCATCATCTTAATAAAAAAGTAACTCTCCTAATTTAAGTAAGTAGGTATTTTTATACTTTACCTACAGTATCTTTGATGATCTACTGAATCTTCCATCTCCACCATATTTTTTCCCTTTTATTTTCCTTCAATTAACCTGGCAACTCATTTTTTCCTTTCATTTGAAGGCACACTGGTGGTGGTTATTGTAGCATATAGATGTATGTAGAAGTTACTTAGTTGTAGTGATTTATAAAACATTTTTCTGTCCTGCTGATTTTTCTTTGTCAGTTTCTGGAATGGTCTGTTCCCACTCTGTCAGTGTGAGGTTCTTGAAGATCTCAGTAGAATACAACCTCAGAAAGAGTAAGAATGCCATCCTTATGCAACATAAAGCCATACAGGATAGATTTTATTCTTTATTCCGTATGAAACCATCTTGCTTCTGTCAGTGTGTTCAGTGTGTTGTATTTAGGCTGATGCTTCTGGCCTGCACCAGCTGCAATGTTTGCCCCACCTGAACTCTTTGCCCTTTGCCAACTTCAGGTTTTGGATTCTGCTTTCCATATGGTTGTAATTGCCTGCTGACACGGTCAGTCACCGCAGGTGTTACACAACACCATTCTGACATCATTTCTTATCTTCCTTCTTTGTCCTCACTGTTAAGAGGTGAACAATGACATCATCCTCAGGAAGATTACAAGCTCTTCAAAAGGACTATAAAGTCTAAGTCAGTGAGAAGGTGGAGTGACAAGTGAAAAGGGAAACTGTGGGGATTATTTTGTCAAATGTAGGATTGCAGTTTTCCAGGAACAGATACAAATGAAATTAGAGGCAGGGCAGGAGGTATTGATTATTTACCAAAATGTTCATCTCTGATGCTAATGCTAATGCTAACACGCTTATCAACTGTCATGCCATCAGGGCTTGTACTGTGTAACCAAATTTGGTTTTGTACCAACTACTTTTGGACTTGGTTTTGTGATACACAGTTTTCTACCTACCCCTCATTGAAAAGTACTCTCAAAAAAGAGATCTGTAGCCAATGAACTACTCAAGAAGTGGGGTTTTTCCATCTCAGTATATAACATCTTGATAATGAAACTTAAATGAGCCTTTCTTTTCTCTTTAGATCCACCTCAAACCTTGCAAAACCATGAAAATCTCAGTGCTTCCTTTATATCCCAGGAGCTCTTTCCACACTCAAAATACTGGGCTACCGAGGAACAGTGGCACGCGTTGACTCCTATGATGCAAACATGGCCAAAACAAAAGAGGGGAGGAATATTCAAGAGACACACAAGGGAGGCTAAATATATCTATCAACTCTTATGGAGGTCTACTTGTACTAGTCTGGTCTTGTTACAAAGTGACTCACCTCCAAATCTGTAGCTTAAGCTCTCTAAATATAACCTTAGAAATCTTAGAAAATCATGAGTGCCAGTAAATCAAAGCAATAAGAATGTATGAGATTGCAGAGATAACATCAACATACTCTTTCCTTAGCCAAAGCCCAGAGTTTCTAAGTAGACATGTTCAAACAAAGGACTGCGCTCTGCTCAGGCAAAATACATGCTTTTGTTTAAATGTACATATATATAAGGAGGGAATGATCATGTGCACCTTCACAGGAAGTCCGTCCACCCCCTTTTGGACTGAAATGCTTTCCAGCCCAAAAGCTACCTTTCCTTCAATCCAATGTTTCTGTGCATGGCTAAGAGCTATTGCCCAGAACACTGTTCTCAAAGCACAGCAAATGAAAAACAAAATGCATTGTTTGTTTGGAACAAAATATTACAAAATATGCTTTGAGAACTCCAAACAAAGCTGCTGTATTTCTCAGAGTATAATATTTTCTTTGCTGTTTCTGTATCTTTTGCAAACAGTTACAACAGTTACAACAGTTATCTTAAAATACCCCATTCCTAAAAGGATATTCAGAAACCAATTTCTTCTGCTGGGAAGATCATTGCTTTATTCACACATGTCTACATCAGATTGCCTAGGAATATTGAATTATCTTAGCAAACAGGTCTAGAAAGATACTGCTTGGAGTCCGTAAAGCATCACATTGTGATGCCCAGAGAGGTTGTGGAGTCTCCTTCTCTGCAGATATTCAGTACCCTCTTGGATGACTTTCTGTGTAACCTACTGTAGGGAACCTCCTTTAGCAGGGGGTTGGATTGATCAGCTCCACAGTTCCCTTCCAGCCCCTAAAATTTTGTGATTTTCTGATTCTTGAATATTTGAAATGGTAGTATGTAGCCAGGTTACAGCATTTTTAAAAAATATATCTGTATTTCTTAATAAAGCTCTTTTTCACTTTTCCCAATTCAATCCGTGCAACAGGTTTGGATCCTGCACCTCCAGCTGAAACATGTCAGCTTTCCTTCTTCAGGGCTTTCTGTAACAGCAAGTCAGGAAAGAGAGTGCAAGCCTGATCAACAGCTGTGGCCCTCAGGTCTTTCCTCACTGTCTTTTTGTTCATTCCCATGTGCTGTGAGACCTTAGCCTGGCAGCAGCACCTAGCAACACAGGTTTCCAATCTCTCTGATCTTTAGCCTCTGAATAAGTATTAGGAGGTTTGCAGGGAGAGGTGAAATACTGTTGTGGGGATAACCCATCTTAGTGACATTTTCTTTGCACTTCTCCTCTTGGGATTTTAATGATTACAGTTTATGACAAGCATGTATTTGTTCTGGATTTGAAATGTAGTCATCCTTTGAATGCCTGTAGCATAGCAATGTTTAACGAATATATGGTGTTTAAACAATCTTTTGGTTGTGCTGTCAGAGCTAACTTAACCATACTGTTTCTAGGATCATTTATTCTCAAAATTATATTGTTACTGATAAAGATAATAACTGAGATTGTACTGAAGTCCTAGAAACAAGTTGAAACATAAAGTTAAATGCAGTCACAGGGCATTAAATGCTCTTTAATGGCTTGCATCGAGTCCAAGTAGTTAATCGGTATATAAAGTTTACTGCAATCTTTCTCCTATTTAAGCGTGTTCACTGGTTTAGGCTCAGGGCATATGGAAAACTCTCATTGGTGCCTCTGAGTCAAGCATTTTAAAGCAGGAATACTGTGATTTATTTCAGATTGCTACTTGCTATCTTTCTTTACATAGGTGAGAACATACAGATATTTATGGGTCATTGTGTAAGGAATAGAATTCACTTATGATTTCTGCATCTGGAGTACTTAAACAGTTAGTATATATGATTAGCTTTGCAAAATCATGAAAGTATTTTATTCCAGTTTCATGTTCAAATTTCTATGAATGGGAGAAGTGTCCATGATAACTCAGTAGTAAATGCTTCCCTTCAAATATCTTGATGTCAAAACAAATGTAGTCTCTCCAAAGGTGTTGTGGCAAAGCGATCCCCAAACGTGCTAATTAATGTTATATTAGAACTGTAATTAAGCAGAACTTAATTTCTATCAGTATAAAAGAAAAATTTGGAAAACTAAACAGGTTTGATGTGACAAACAATACATCAGCCAATTTGAATTTGGAAAGGGAAGTGTTGAATACAGAAACTGCAACCTGCATACTTAAAGTGTTTTCCTGATTTTTCTGCTTTACTGAAAACTAAACAAAAACTGAAATTTTACCCTATTGAGAAATTTCATTATCTAAATATTAACATTTAAACAAAGACTTTGACACGTAAATGAATCTATATATAAAACACGCAAGATTTTTGCAAGTGGAACACCTGAGATCATTATGGATATATAATCTGGCCAAAAAGTGTGATGTATTTGAATGACTCTCAGGAGGCAAAAATCCCTTGTAAGGAAATCTAATTCAACATTGAACTGAGAAACCTAAAACAATTTTAGCTGGTCAAGTATTAAAAGAGTGGAAAAGAAACCCTAATCAACTCTCTTCCCTACTACCACTCTCTCGAGCCTACCCTTACATAAAAGGTAGTGAAGGTCATCTCCATGTTTTTCTGCTCACAATATGAAAAAAGCTTACAAGCACTGGCACTTACAAACATGAACTTTTCTTAAAATGTATATATATATTTCAGTTTTTTGGGTTTTGTTTTTTTTTTTATAAAATAGCTGTATTCAGGAATTAGCACATTGTGAAAATTATTTCTCCCTGCTCCATAAACTTGTCATAAACTTGTGTTTCCTACATACAAGCATTTTGCATAAGTCCATGGGAATCATTTAATTCAGTGTTAAAATCATTTAATTCAATTAGTTAAATCCATTTCATTAGGTCTAGCACATTCTGGAATAGAAAACCTTTGTCCTGGCAGCCTGTATGCTTTACATATTCTGTTATGCAAACTGAGAATGTCAGAGACTTTGCCCTGGACTTGCTACCCTTGTTACAGCTTACCCTACAGTTTATTGCTTGCAGACAAATCTACAGACCATGAATGGTCTCAAACCTAGCAGCTTCTGCCTACAAAAGCAAGACAAGCTCATTTTACTATTATTTGCAAGTTAGCAGCATTGTGCTCAGCAGATCATGCACAAAGAGAACTCAGGCCCAGCACTCAGTTCACACAAAGCAGTATAATCCTGTTCAAGCCGGTGACCTCTTTAGATTTAAACAAGCAGAGGGTCCTGCTCATTGTAACAGGTGAATTGTTTGTTTGTTTTTTTTTATAAAACAGCTAATCTAGGCAAGTAGATGGTGTTTTGCATGAAGCTCTGCAGCAGTGCAAGAAGCCTGGTCAGAAAAAGCCCAGTCAGAAAATACAGAAAATAATTCTATTTAACAGAATTTTAAAAAAAAAGTCATACCCACAGGTAGCTCAGAGTCACATCAAGGTACATTGCCTGCTTCTGATCTGGCCTCCTCAGACACCCTGTTTTTCCCCATGACCACTCACACCCTGCAATTTGGGCACAAACAAAAAAGCCTGCCTGTGTAGTCATCCTGCTGCTATCAGATGCCCCTCCCCTGAAGCCATCGGTGACAGCCCAGCTCAGTCATGCTGTATGTTTTGCATGTTGTTTGCATGCGATGGGATCATGCTTGTTGATCACCTATCTTGTCCTCATCAGATGTAATTTAGCCTCTGTAATTCTGTTTCCTGTGGCAGATTCTGTTTGATGTCTTTTTGTCACTTTCTGTTTCATACCTTAGGCTGCAGAATTGCTCACAGACAGTTTAGTGCAAACGTATCTTTTGTCTGCAATATCCTTTCTATATTCTAAATTCTGGTGGTTCACTAATTCACTTGTCTTTCCCTCCCTGTAGCATGTATTAAATATTGCACATCTACAGAACTGTTTCCCTATCTTCTTTTGATATTTCCATGCTACATTATGGGTAGTCTAGGGAAAAGTGCATACTAATGAGCTATAAAAATGAATTCAAAATTTTTCCCAAACACAACATAAAACCACAGAGTATCCTGAGTTGGAAGGGATTCACAGGATCGTAGAGTCCAACCTCCAGCTCCACACAGGACCATCCAAAATCCAAATGCTGTGTCTGAGAGCAGTGTCCAAACGCTCCTTGAACTCCAGCACTCAGGACTGTGCCCACCGCCCTGGGCAGCCTGTTCCATGCCCACTGCCCTCTGGTGCACAGCCTGTCCCTGACCCCCACCTACCTCTCCTCAGACACAGCTCCATTCCATTCCCTCAGGCCCTTTTGCTGTCACGGAGAGCAGAGCTCAGTGCTCCCTGTGAGGCCATGGAGGCTACTATGAGGCCTCCCCTCAGCCTCCTCTGCTCTGGACTGAGTAAAAAATGATACTTCTTGAAGTATAATCTTACTACAAGAAGGCACTATCTTCATTTCTTTCAAGCTTTTATACAAGTTCACATGACACATTGCCTTTATTTTTGGATTTTGTGCTTCCTTTTACTAACTGGGGCTCCTTCCCTCTTTGTTTTCTTTGCATTGTGAATTCCCATGAATCTTTCTGTCTGTACAGCTCAGCAGCTAAAACTGACACCCAAACCTAACCCAGGCAAACAGCAGCCAACCTCACCCTCATTTCAGACTTCCCATCTAGTTTATGTGACATTGCTAATATCAAATTCATTGTATGGATTAAATCCTTAATTTGTGTTGGCATAGCTCCATGGAAATCTTAACCTTCATCTGTCAGACACAAACTGAAAAGTTGGCAGGCTCTACCCAGTATAGGAGCTACACGTGAGTCACCCAAAGACTCCTACATCAGGAAGGTTCCTCCATAAATCATAGCATATCTCCTATGCTGCGCTAATACAGGCAGCATGAAAAGCACCTGAGCAGGATCCACATGAGATAGCAATATAGCTATGCTAGATGACACTGCACCCAGGCTAATACATCTGTGAAACCACACAAATCTGCAGTGACTCCAGTCATTCAGTGAAACAGATGTGTTTGAGTAGCACTGCTTTGTGCTAGGTAAAAATGCTGTGGTCCCACATGTTTCCAACACATCAGCCTCTAACTATTCTGCCCCATGATCACTGTACAAGTAGGTCACTGCTGAGGGGTAGCTCCAGAGCCACACAGGAGGTCAGCAGGTTCTTTCCTGGCTCTGCTTCCTTTTCTCTCTTCACAAATCACTCAGTGATGGCAGCTCTCTATCTGAGGTGGGAAGAGGCTTTTTTTCCTCTCAGAAGCAACAAGCTCCTCAGAGGTCCTTTTGTCCAATGTGTGGCTGTGTCCCAAGATCACTGCCTCACAGATGTGCCTTCCAGGAGAGCAGCAGCAGGGCCATCTGGGTGAATTCTGTTTGGATGTGTCTCTCATAACATGTGACACAGCTTTTCTTATTCTGTTCCCCAGGCAAAGTTCTGTTTGCCCAGGCAAAGTGCCAAATTTCCTTTTTTTTTTTTTTTCCTTTTCTTATTCTTTCTTTTCTTTTGTCATTTCCATCTTTTTATCCTGCCAGTACCATCCCATGTGAGAGCCACAGTTTCACAGCAATAATAGTACCCCAAGGTGCATATGGTACATACGGTAACGGTGTCTGAAGGATGACACTGGGACATGCTCTGCTGGGTACTGGAAGGTGGCCAAGCATTAATTTCTCCCTGTCCCATTTTCCTGAGGACCTGCCTGGCTTCAAGCTAGGTCTGCTGTAAGGCACTAGAGGTGAAAATCAGAGAGAACAGTATTCCTTACATTTAGATTGCGAGTCCAGACGTTTCGAATCCAACCAGGATCTTTCATCAATAGAATCTGAAAGAAAGAATAATGATGAACAATACAGTTAATGCACAGAATTATATGTATATGCACAGAAGTTAATGTACCCAGGCCTCAATTACTGTACTTCAAACACGGCTGCTGTAATGCATATCTCTTCTGCAATTCCTTTGCAAAACACATTGCCCTTGTGTAATCCTCACTTTTTAGTGTACAAAGAGATGTTCTCAATTTTCTCTTTTTCTACAATCTCAGCTTTTGTATTTTTTTTCTGTTACTGTTGTTGTTGCTTTCTGCCTTTTTTAAATTTGTTTGTTTGTTTGTTTGTTTTCAGTAGGATTTAATCTTATCATGGAATCATAGAATCATAGAATGGCCTACGTTGAAAAGGACCTCAAAGATCATCTAGTTTCAACCCCCCTGCTATGGGCAGGGTCGCCAACCACTAGATCTGGCTGCTCAGACCTACATCCTTGAATGCATCCAGGGATGGGGCATCCACAACCTCCTTGAGCAGCTTGTTCCTCTGAGTGAAAAACTTCCTCCTCTATAGGGAGCCAGAGCCTTTTCTTCTCCAGGCTGAAAAGTCCCAGTTCTCTCAGCTTGTCCTTGTAGGGGAGGCACTCCAGCCCTCTGACCATCTTCATGGCCCTCTGCTGGATGCACTCCAACAACTCCATGTCGTTCTTGTGGGTGCTCCAGAACTGGACACAGTACCCCAAGTGGGGTCTCACAAAAGCAGAGTAGAGAGGCAGGATCACCTCCCTCAACTTGCTGGTCACATTTCATGCAACCCAGGACATAGTTGGCCTAATGGGCTTCAAGAGCACATTGCTGGCTCATGTTGGGTCTTTAATCAATCTACATTGCCAAATTCTTCTCCTCAAGGCTGCTCTCAAGCTGTTCTCCAGCCAGCCTGTATTTGTGCTTGGGATTGCCCCAATCCAGGTGCAGGACCTTGCACCTGGCCTTGTTGAACTTCACAAGGTTGACATGGGCCCATCTCTCAGGCCTGTCTAGGTCCCTCTGGATAGCGTCCCTTCCCTCTGATGTGTACCACTCAGCTTGGTGTCATCTGCAAAGATGCTGAGGGTGTACTCAATCCCACTGTCTCTTACAAAGATGTTAAATAATACCGGTCCCAACACCAATCTCTGAGGTGTCACTGGTCTCTGGTGTCTACTTGAATGATAATAGCTTGCACTCAGAACCTTCCATTAAGGATTGCACCATGCTATTCAAACACAATGTACCAAGTTCTTAAACAACCTTATGTGCCAGGAAGTATTATTAGTTCCATTTTGCAAATGAAGAAACTGAGATACACCCTGAATAAATGACTTATTTTGGGTTACAAAGGAAGTCTAGCAACAGAATTAGAAACAGATCTCTTTCCATCTGCCATTATTTTAACAAGACTATTTTCAGAAGTAGAATAAAAATGATGATATTGTTGCACCAATTAGGAAATGAACAGAAACATTTTCACAAGCTAAATTATTAATTGGAATGCAGGTGCCTGTTGTATTCAAAGGTAGGATTTAATATAGTAACATTTTCCAATTGCACATGCCTCTTTGGGTTCAAGATGCATCTTGTTGCTTTGATAACAAGGTGGTGGCTTGAAGATAACACAGCAGTTAACTGCTCAGTGTTAACACAAAGTATATGGAACATGAAATAGCAGATCAAATTCACACTAAGTGTTTATGTGTTTGATGCTTGTATATCTAGTGCTTATAAAATTCATATGTTATATGTGCCCTGTATTTTCCTAGGCAATGTTCCATTCTATTTTACTGAGACTGACCTGAGTCTTTAGTACCTGTATGTCTTTTGTTTTTGTAACTTCTTGAATTCTAGGAGCAATTCCACCTCCCAGAGAGAGGTATCAGCCCCATCTCTGTCCTGTCCATGTTAGAACCAAACCCAGATTTTCCAGATCATAGAATCATATCATAGAACCATGGAATGGCTTGGATTGGAAGGGACCTCAAGGATCAGCAAGGTCCAACCCCCCTGCAGCAGGGCCACCAACCTCCTATCTAATGCTAGACCAGGCTGCCCAGGGCCCCATGCAACCTGGCCTTGAACACCTCCAGGGACGGGGCATCCACAACCTCTCTGGGCAGCCTGTTCCAGCACCTCACCACTCTCTCTGTAAAGAACTTTGCCCTGACATCCAACATAAATCTTCCCTCAGTCAACTTGAAACCATTTCCCCTTGTCCTGCTATTATCTACCCTTTCAAAGAGCTGTAGATAGATGCAGTGTCTGGGGATTTACAACTAGTGCCACTCCCCAGAAAATGCCTGCCCTACAATTTGGCTGCAGCCTCAGGATTTCCCACAGGAAATCACCTGGGAAATGCAGAACCACTTGGGGTAGCAGTCTGCTACTTCTGCACACTGCTGGGTCCAGGAGATCTGCTTTGGAGATGGGAAGGATCAGCTCTGAAGGGTTTTCTGTACTAATTCATTCCTTCTTCCATTTCCCCCAACTTTTGCTGTCTAATATGCAGACCACACAGATATAAAATAGCTCAGATAAGTAGAGCTATTTTCATGAAAGAAGTAGACTGACTTCTGATTTTTCCTTTTCTTTCTCTTCTTCTTTGTTTCGTTGCCTCCTTCTCTCCTACTTTTCCTTTCCTGCTGACTTTGTCTTTATTAATAACAAAGTTCCCCATAAACCACATCCAAGATTAAAGAAATAAATCTCAAGAACTCAATACTAGGAACTGCCATAAGAAAACAGTACATTTCATTAGCAGAGAAGTCAACAGTGTGTTGCAACAAGTCGGTAATTGTACAATAGTGTTGCTGCCTTCTCATTCAGTCCCTCTGAAAAACATTGATTGGAGACAGTCCTGTGAAACATTCTTTGTGCACTGGTGTAACAACCACGGGACTCTCCAGGATCCCTGCCAGCTGTTTAGAAGAACAGTTAATGTTGTAGTTAAGTATTTGATCTTTAGAGTTGCCTAGTATCTGTTCTTGCTTGCATTTGAAAAACAACCCTAAGCAGCTTCATTTAGTCCTGTAATCGATGGGAAAAAGTAGTTTTTAATTGAATGATTTTTGTTCAATGTTTAGTGTGTCATCTTTTTCAAGTTGACTGTTACAAATCAACTATCTGCATTTCCTATATAATAGGCTTGGAAATGCAAACTGACATGATTTAAAATTGTTTTAATGCAGATACACAGTGCATTAAATCCCTCCTTCAGCTATGCTAGCATCTGCTGACCTCAGGGAACAAAGCTAACGCAGGGAGAAGATGACCTTGTGCTTAAGCCAGTGAAATAGGACACAAGGCTATTCCTGTTGCAGAAAACTAAACAGAGGCAGGAGGCAGGTGGAGTTGCTGGAACAGCTTCACCTCTGCCCTGACGCTGGTAGACCAGACCAGTACCTGGCATGCCTGTATCCCCAGCCCAGCCTCAACTATGAGCACAAGGCATTTCCAACAGGCCATTGGAAAGGGGCCAGCCAATACTGGGGGTCTGAAATAATATGGAAGTGACTACATCGTGCCACAAAGCATCAAAACCCTAGCACTGCTTAGCTGACTTGCAGCCATATAGCCAAAGGCTCAGTTCTCAGAGCTACCTGAGCTTTCTTGTAGGTCTATGTGTATATCACAAGCACTGTTGGTCACTTCTCCTGCTGTTGAACAGGAATAATGTCATCCTCAGCTGTTAGGGAAAAGTACTTAATATTCAGGACAAAACTGTAACTTGTGGTGCAAAGCCAAATCTGCTTTTTTTTTTTTTTTTTTTTTTTTTTTTAAGTAGAGACTTTATAACCCTGTCTTGCCCATCTGGAAGCATAAAGCCAAGGTGTACTTTTCCCAGCTAAATATGACATGTTTAAGAATCAGAGATGAAAAATTCTTACAGCTCATAGAAGACGAGAAGAGTCAGAGATAACATGTTATGACATGACATTCGCAGGAGAAAAATTAGTCTGTATTTCATCCCATCACTAGCACGTGTAAAAAATTACAAGGAAAATGAAAATGTCACAACTGCAATCCTTGTCTCCTTGGGAGAAATAGGGAGATATGGAGGGGACAGAATGCAACAGGAAGCATTTAGCCATTAGGAAAATTATAATATTGGGGTAGGCAAGCTCTGGAATGGATTACAGGAAGAGGCTAAGATCTTTCAGAGCAGGGTAAACACACATTTGTCAGAAATGTTGTAATTCTTGTTGAATTTGCCTTTAGGCATAGAAATGAACCAGATGATCACTAAGTATCTTCCAGCCTTGTATTCTGTTGTTGTGTGATAAAATGAGACAGCAGGATGAGGCTGCATTTTCAGGAGCTCTTTCCTAATAATGAAATCTCACAGTGGAAAAATTCAGAAACTGGTAATGAAACCCTGTCACATGAGATGCTTTGAATCTGACTGAGAAAATAGAGCAGGCACAAACTGCAGAGAACAAAGACAGAACAACCCAGGAACAGGACAGGTGATCTGCAAGGTTCTTCTGTCTCAAACTTCCAACTCGGTTGCATGACATCACCTGACCACTGATTAACTCATCACGCTGATTGCAGCAGATGTTGTAAACAAAGTTACTCATTTGTGAATTACTCACCTCATTTAAATCTGGTTCTTGCGGTAATAATGCCTCCTAATGTAGTTAAGTGCATAGAGTGTGTCTTCTTTTCCTTCCTGCTGGTACCAGAGAGAAACAACCTATTTCTTCCCCTGAAGGGCATCTGATTTAAAAAAAGTGATTATAAGACCCACCTCTGATGCCCAGAGGTGACTTACATTTTCTCTAGTGTGGGTGCATAGCTCTGAGCAGCGGATCTATTCTTTCACAGATAAACAGAGCTAGTTTCTTAGATGAGGTGATGTTATCTCCACTACAGAGTCTCTTTTCAACAGCAAAGAAGGAATGACCTCTTATAAGATAAGATGACAATCATAGATTGAGTGCATGACCAAATTCCTTTCTAAATGATGATTTCCTGGTATGGAAATAAAACCATTTTATAGTATCTGGAATAGTCAAATT